CCCTTTGCACCCGTCATCGTCGGCATCAGCCGGGCCGCCGCAATATGGGACAACATCGAAATGAAGCCGGAAATGAGCGGGATGCGACAGAGACCCTTTCACTCGCGTAAGTGATGGGTGGTGTGGCTGGCAATATCGTAGTTCGCCTCCCTTGGGGTGAACGATGACGGGATGAACGTCGTCAACATCCGATGAACGCATCGCGTCTCATCTGGTGAGGGCGAGAGAAAGGTAGGTCCGCTTATCGCCAACGAGTCAAAGTCATGTCCAAACATATCCAACGGAACCTAGAACCACCGCGAATGTCGGGCGGTGCCCAGAACGACGATGCGCAAAGCTGAGTCTCGTTCCCTCTTTCAGCGATGGGGACCGGGCGAAGCTTGGTATCGAGCGCCTTCGGGCGCAACTCAGGGCCGCGGATCGTAGCTGAATGGGTCGATAAAGCAGAACCTCAAGTCAGCTCCCGTCGGCAGGCCGGTCGTCCTCCTCCAAAAGTCCATTCTCTAAGCTGCCTGCGGCATCCGATGGTGGAGATGCCAGAGTCACTTGACCACGTGCAGATTCCTCTCCTTCGGCATAGGCGCAGAAGCGAGCAGCGACTTTCCCCCACTACCACCACCACTACACGCTCGTCCCAGATCTGTGATACGCGCATATTGAAAGTGACGGGCAGGGCGAGCCGCCTCACGGACAAGCCTGGAAGTCAGGTACCGCCCAGAGGATCCCAGTGACTCGTCTCCAAATCGGCAAACCAGGGGGAGGGCTGTTTAGCCAGTCGATTTCTCCACGTAGTACCCAAGTTGAGAGCAGAAGACATACGGTAAGGAATAGCCGGGAGAAGACGAAGAGCCTAACTCTACCTACCTACCCCATCGAAAGGTTTACCCGGTGACGTGACATGCCAACAAGGGGAAAGCGTCAAGTTTTTCTGTGGGAAAATTGCGGAGGCTGACGGTCGAGGAGCTCCGTGGTTTTTCACGTCCCAATTCGGCATCTCTGGCCTTCCTTTGCCACGACGTCGCACTCGCTGGCCGTTAGGGCAGGGGAACATGCGGCAGCAGAGGGTCGGCCTGGCGCTGGCCGCGGGTACTCGCCGTAATGTACTGTTTTAAAGATTTCGGAAATGACTTCGGAACGATGGGGGATTGTCGGGAAGGTGAGTGAGCTTCACGTGTTACTCTGAGATGAAGAGCTGGAGGTTGAGGGGTGTAGTGTGTCTGAGAGATGAGAAGATCGAGGTGGTTGAGTGAGTGAGGGGACGGTGTGAGATGCCTTTTACACAGTAAAGCGTATACAGTACGTATCCAGCCTGGCCCTTGTGGGTGACGAACGAACACCAACCGATCAACACGTTCATAACCCCTCTTCTAAAAGTATTACTACCATCATTCTCGCTATCTTTTCAAGCATATTCCCCAGGAATACACGCAGGGAAACAGGCAACAAGAGTAGTACTATTGGTACAGGTGGATGTAGTGCGAAGAGTCAGTGGGAGCGATAAAGGTAAAAGCTGTGGATGTATGGAGTTACCTACCCAGGCCTTCCCTCTTCACGATATCACATTGGGTATTGTTGTGCTTAGCCATACGTCACCTGAAGGCTGGCCCGGAGGATGCTTGTCTGTGTGTATATTGGATCTCTACACATAGTCTACAATACTTCCCCCTACGACAAAGGGACATCTCGACCGTAATTAGCCCGAAAACAACTGGAATATCGCGCAACCCTGCTCGCAGCCGGACTCCTTTGACTGCCCTGCCCATTAGGCCAGGGCCAGATTATCCCCAGTAAAACGCCTGCCTGCCTGACTGCCTGCAAGAACCGCCGCCAGCGCATCATGTACACAAAGAACTAGTCCACAGCGCACAGTTCTCCTCCTGGACCATCCGATGCGTCGTTCATACCCGATTATGTCTCTCTCTCTCTCTCTCTCTCGCTTTCGCCCTGCTTTCTAGATAGCACCGACGTCGTCGCCCATAAAATGACAAATGACAAGCTCCATCTTGTTCTCTTATGCCGTTCGAATGACCGTAAGATGCATATTCTTGGTTTGACGAGGCAGCTTGCCATCCCGCTCGTACAGCAATCCGCAGTTTTGGCAGAGTGACTGATGTTCTGTTAGCCCACACATCTTCTTCATTACCAGATTAGGAACTCACCCGTGGTCCTGCAGGTCCAGGTCTCACCGCCCACACACTTGAGCCCCAGAGGCAGCAGTGGCAGCATCTCCACGATAAGCGCTCCGTGTCCGTCAAGCCGCTTCCTGCACCGTATCCGGAACCCACGTCTGGCGTTCCGCGTCCGCCAGGGGTACCAGATCGGCCTATCGGGCTCAAACTGCGGAAGCGACGCTTCTTCTTGGACCGCTCGCCTCTGCCCATACGCTCCTCTTCCGGAGCCTCCACCACGTTGCCAAATCCAGAGAATGGCACGCCGCCCACCAAGCCAGTAGTCGAGCTGAAGCGAGCAGTCTCGCGGCGGAGTCTACGAATCTGTCGCTCTCTATCGCCTTCTCGCTTCTCCATCTCTTCCTTGCTGAGGATCTCAACCTTGGGCTCCCAGGGATCGGCCAGATTTTCCGGATCGTAACGCCACCCGGCGTCGGCTCCAGCCGTGGCATCGTTGGGGAACTCGCGTACTCCGTTCCAGCCCATCACCAGTCCACCCGCTTCACAGGCCTCTTTCTTGAGGCGCAATACTGCTTCGTAAATGGAGTGTGTGACGGCGGGGACCCATTCGCCTGTCAATCCAAGGTCTTGGCATGTTTGACTGGCAAAGGCCTCTGGCATACCCGGAGGATGCAGCAGAGACCACTCAAACTTGTCAGTGTACAATGCTGACTGGAGGTTGATGCTGAGGGTGACAATGCATCGGTAGGCGTCGTCATGGTCATACTCGTCGGAGTCGACGGGAATAGGGCTTGCATGAGCGGTAACGTCTGGTGCTGATGTCGCGTCCTTGAACCGAGATGGTGTCCCGATGCCGCCGTTCTGCATTGGAGTGTCGGAGCGGCTGATTGCTGCGGCGGGGGTGGGCGTCTCGTCCTGGTTGATCATCGAGCTCGGCTTAGTTGCGTCGTTGATTCCAGAGTTCTGCGCCTGCGCGTGGAACAAGGGGTGCAGGGCAACACCAGCATACTCTTCAAGCTGCGTCCGGATCTGCCTGGCGATATCAAGCATCAGGTTGTGACGGTTCGGCAAGTCGAGGTCTTGAACGTATGTTTGCGCAAATTGCTCGGTCGTGATGACCGTCTCGTGGAGGTTCCAGAGGAAGGTATCGCGAAGCCGGTAGGGCGGCGTCATTTCTTGCGCTCGGTATTGCGGGAGTGTTGTGTCGACAGTATGAGGCGCCGATGGGAAGGCGACCTGGGGCAAAAAGGACGGAATATCGAGTTCGATTCGGATGGGAATCAAAGTCAGAGGGAGGTCTGCTTGCGCCGAGTTTTGCTGGTCATTCCGTACTTGACGTCCCTTGCCAAACCAGTCTCTCCAGATGCCCTGTACCTCGACAGGCTCGTCCGTGTCCTTTCCAGCCTTGTCCAGAAGATCCTGGCTGATCGCCGAATCGTCTACTCTTCTGAGACTGCGCAGACCAGTCGGGCGACGACGGCCATTGTCGTCGTCATCATCGATTTCATCGTAGCCGTCCTCTGCATAGTTGATGATGGTTGTGCCACGCTTTGTCACTCGGGAGTTGGTCGTGGCCGGAGCGCTGGCGACGTTTGGGGTCAGGAGTGAGTTGTTGTAGGCTCGGATTCGTGGCGCATAGGTAGACAGGAAGGCCTGCGGCTTCGGTCGGGCGTCCATGTTGGGAGACTATGAGACCCAATGGGTCATGGCAGGTTGTCGCAAGACGATGGGCGGAGAAGTGGCCGGGGACACTTCGAGGGAGAGACGAGACGGGACTGCGCGGATCGGGGCAGTCGACTGCCACGCGCAAACGTGAATTGACGTTTCGTCTATCCCTAGCGACTGACGTTGAATGCGTGAGGAGCTGTATCGCCGGATGCCTCGTTGCGCGCCGATGGAAATATCCGTCGTGTTGAGGCTGGAAGGGGAGCGCTGCACCGATTGTGAGATGTGGATCGCGTTGGAAATGCATTGGAGAGCAGCAGGGCGCGTCAGAAAAATCAGGTCGGCGTTTCCCGACCCAGGTCCAGCTCCAAAAGGGTTTAGCGCGTTGAGCCACACACCAGTACCAAAAGGCTCACCGAGATCACAGAGTTCACCGAGCTCACCGACGCATCGAGGTAAGGTACACCGAGCTACCAAAGTTCACCGGTCGCTCAAAGACAAGGAATTGCATCATAGGGCAGCTTTTCTCGAAGAGAAGGCCTTTCGGTATGTTTTTATTAGTACTGCAACAAAGCAATTGTGCCTTTTCCAATGGAAGAATGTCTTTGTGCAATCATCACAATGCGAAACAGCTCAGTTGTTGCGTTGCTAAGGCCCAAGGCACGGAGAACAGGGAATGCTAAAGACCACATCATTGCTTCCGATACATATTCCAAAGAAGTTCCCATTGATATCGATACTTTACACGAAAGTTATCTCCAACGAATTCTTAGCAACAAACATATAACATAAGAATCAAACCTCAAGACGTCTCCCGAAACGCAGACTTACAAAAAGCACATCAAGAAGCTGAGGAAAATGAACAGGTTCCAACAATCCAGTGGTGGCCGACAGTTGAAAGTCCGATTTGTGCTACAATTCCTCATTCAATGCCCTGATTCACCGGCAGCACGTCGGTCTTCAAACGATGATGACGAGGACCGGAGAATCAAAGACGGTGCAGCCGAAGAAGAACGCCAGGATCTAGTCCAAATTATCGCAAGCGGTCTCTGCCAAGTAGATATACCTACCGCAGTTGCAACCAAAAATGGTGCTGGAAACCTTGAGGTTTCAAACTCAAATGCTTGGAATATTGTATTGGACGAGCAAGAGCTCAATGTACAAGGGTCTCCGAGATGGCACCTCGTCAGCATCCGTTCTCCGCTCATGCCTATGATCCCGCTGGCATCGGTTTTAATCATATCAATCTGTTCCGTTCTCAAAGACTCGAAGAAACTCACTATCGCCTTCAACGAAATCCCCCGCCTGAGAGTGGAAGTCAAGCCCGAGGGGGGAGACTTCACCCTCCCAGAGGTCTGTAGAGTTCTCACCTTTCTCTGGTACGCCTCACCGCGTCTAAACGACCTGCATGCGGAATACTGTGGACCGGGCTCACTATTTGCTCCGGGTCTCGAGTTTGCACGTAACTTCAGCACCGATTCGCACGCCTTCCTCTCTGATGCTGAATGGCGCGGTGAGCCCACCGAGGCGTTCTTCACTCGTGGTCTACCAACTGCTAACAAGGTCAGCATGCTCGAACCACCCTCCATCCGAGGGTCAGACATTGAGAACGAAGCAGTCCTCCAGATTACGGCAACTAAAAGCTTGAAGGAGATCATGAATGGTACTGAGATCCACGTCCGGGACTGGGAAGGTAGACCAAGCGTTTTCTCCAGCGCCTACGACTTTTCCAGGCTCCTCGACAAAGATCCTTAGAAGAGAATCATAGGATTTTCCCAACACGCCGGCACTTTGGACTCTCATGCAATCGAGAACTGGATCAAGGTATGTCACGGCGCCGTCAATTTTTGCCTGAACGAGTCTAAGGATCGAGTAGACCGTGTTCTTGCACAGTTGAAGCTATCCAACTCTGCGTTTGGATCGTCTGGTTCGTACAAAATCCTTCATTTGCTCGAAGATATTAACCTCCATGCACAAGCAGCATACTACGAACCTCTCGGCCAGAACCCATTCGTTCCGGAACTTGACGCCCACCGCCTTCGCAAACCCACCATCAACCTCGAAGACGACGAAGACTTGTCGCCGTACACCTTTGGCATCGAACTCGAGTTCCTCGTCCCTTTCACCGATACCAAACACGCCGGCAAAGACATCGACGATCAACGCTGGGTCTACAATCATTTCACCCCGTATGTCCTCCCAAGTCCAACCAACCCCCCACCACAGAGCGAGCTCGACAAGCTGGCCGACCTGATAGATAAACACCTTGGTACCAACCCCAAAGACGAGCGCGGACAGGCCCACGATGAATCAGCGAAACAACTAGAGACAATGCTCTGCGACGAGGGGTACTTTAGCGCGGCATGGGACACCGTCTTTGACCTCCGAGACGACTACGAGGGCAAAATATCCATACCGGGGATACAATCCATCGCAGATGCTGCGGGCTGTCATCTTCACTTCTTGGAAGATGTCATCGCAGAGTTCCAGTGCTGGTACATTGAGAGAGACCCTAGCCTTTCTGACTGGGCTTCCGGTGAAAAGGGGTACGCCGGGCACACTGGGATGGAGATGTCCAGTCCCGTATTGCGTGACTCACCCGAAGATTTCGGCAAGATTGTCGACGTCTTGAGGATCCTCCGCGGTGGGCTGAGACCGATGCTGGACGTCAGTTGTGGTCTACACGTCCACGTGGGTAGTGTTCGCAAGTTTTCTCTTCGCAGCTTGAAGCGTATCGCCACGTTGATCATGATTGCTGACCCGATTCTATATACTCTCGTCCACCCTTCTAGGCAGTGGAATCCCATGACGCTGCCTCTCCACCTCGATGCAATTATCGCAAAGGCTGACGGTTTACCCGACTACACCGCAGCGTTTGATTTCGAGGACGCAGATAACAAGTCACAAGACAACCCTCTCCAGGTGGTCATGGCCAAGGTGTTGTTGGATCTGGAAGCCAACGTTCCCATGAACGACTTGCCCCGGAAGCTGCGGGGTCAGCTGGCAAAGCTCTGGGCTACAGATAGTCTCTCTGTTCTTCTAAGTCAGCTCGCCCCGTTTCGTGGGTGCAAGGGCGGCACCGCCTTCGGCACCCTCGGTTGGGACTTTTCGAAGCCGAGCAATGACCCACGTATAAAGGGCACCATCGAGTTCAGAATGCTCGAGGGCACGCTTGACCCGGTACTGATTACGCACTGGACCAAGCTGCTTCTCAAGATTGTAGAAAGAGGGGACGCTGCGACTTCGAAGGAGTACTTCCAGATACTTGCTACCCTCGCCCAGGAGCGGAAAAGTGCGGAAGATAAGCTTGCTGCGTTGCTGGGTGCTCTTGGCCTCGAGAAGCACCTGCCGTTCTGGAGCAAGATCTTGCAGAAGAATCAAGCTATAGACTTCGAGTTGGAGGACAACGAGTATGGGCGGAAGATCATGCCCGAGGATTGGGAGTTGCCCATATACCGACAGAAGGAAGGCAATGGGCAGGTGTTCGAACGTAGTTGGTATGAACGGAACGTTGTCAGACTACCAAAGCTTGACGACGATGTTTGGGACCAGATCAGAGATATTCTTTGAGCAGATTAAGCTTTGAAATAAGATGCGATCTGGCAATAACATAGACTGTTTGTTTACTGATTCACAGACGGACTGAAGTGTCCTCTGGATAGAGACGGATGTGTTCCATAACCACGTGTTCGTCGCGCCTAGCCTTCCCAGACATTTGACTTCTCCTTGGGGATCTCGCTGCCACAAGCAAACAGTATAGAATGCCATACTACACAGGTTGCTCCCATTTATATAATTACTTTGCCGAATGCTGTTTCAAACACTTTTACATGTAAGGAGTCCATGGTTGCTCGACATGGCCGCCCAAATCCTCGAACCACCACACTCAAACTGTCCAGCACTCCCAGAACAGCCACTGTGCTACACCTTCCACCCACCTGCGGAACTCAAATCGTCACTTCCGCAACCGTTCCTTCTTCTTGTTGAAAATGAGGCGGTTTTGCTAGGTAACAAAGGGAGGGCCGTGCGGTTGTGGAATATACTGTGAGGCTGGCCCACACAGCTCGAGGAAGCAGGTGCGTAATTACAGGCAGGATGAAGAGGCCACATCAACAATCCGTGCGAAATAGTTGTGATTCGACTTTGCAATCGCGATATATCATCATTTAACGTCGCCTGGGACACGTGTTACAAGAGCCAAAAAGAGTCGCCGATTGGGTGGTGTTGTGTTTGTAGGGAGGCTCAGTGGATGGGAGCCACCGCGTCGAAGGCAAGGGCCCATCACCACAGCTCATGACAGCTCTCACGAACGAAAATTTGGTATCTACTGATACTACTGTATAACTGATATGTTCCACAGGCATGAGAAACTGCACGTTTGTGCGGGGTGTCTTTGTTACTGACCACGTCTGGGGATCACCTTGAGTGCATACGCAGTGTGACCATGCTCCTGCCCACAAGGCTTGGCTTCACTGAGAATCCACACTTCAGATAAATTCCACCGGATTCGAATCACGTGCTTTCAATTCAATGATATTCAGAAGTTGTTAAGGGGGGAAGGGACGTTCTTGCAGCTCAGGTAGCTGTCAAGCAGCAACCGAAACCAGGGCCGTTCACCACTCTGGCCTTTACCCTCTCTTCTGGCCCAGATGTTGTGCTTCGGGGAAGATTCCGAGATGGCTTGTCATGGTGCTTCATATAGATTGCCGTACTGTCAGGTCAGCTCTACATCATTGGTCTCTCCATGTTGTGTCGCCCATCCAGTCCTCCATTTGTGCCCCAAGGGAGTTGTGCCAGTTTCCCCTGAAAGGCTCTAACTTCTGCGTACAAGTCTTCAGGTATTGCCACCATCATGATAATCTCGGAATTTTTGCCTCCCACCGTTACCTACCACCACCATATCATCTCTGAATGGGAAGGATAGCCCGGTCAAGAGGAGGCCGACGATTCTGCAACCGTTAACTTGATTCCTTTCGAATCGTTCTTGCCGCCAGGACGCCTTGGAATTCTCTTACAGACGAGAAGCTTTCTCAACGGAAGATACAAGACTTTGGACTCCTTCCTCTGCTTCTCTAGCCCTCCCTCCTCCGACCCTTATATAACCCCCCTCTCTCTCCCACCCACAACCTTCTCTTCTTCTTCTTCTTCTCACACACACACTCCCATAACTCTTCTTCGTTGATACCCAACTTCAAAGACTGCGTCTTTTTTTCTTCACCTCAACTTCCAATCCAACACTGTCTCTTTCAGACTTCACATTCACTTCAGTTCACACACACACACACACACACATACATACTTCACTTTCCATCTCCCACATTCCACACACAACAGTCAACATGCTCAGCGTCAAGACTCTCTTCATTGGCGTTGCAGTCGGCCTCACTGCCGTCAGCATCGTCCACGCTGCTCCTGGCCTTCTCAGTGGCGACGAGAACCGCGCCCTTTCCATGCTCAACACTGCTCGTTCCGAGGCAGGTGTCCCTGCCATTCTTTGGGACAACAAGCTCGTGCAGGACGCCGACCTCTGGGCGACTGCGCTCGCCGCTCAGGGCTACATTGGCCGTGCTCCTGCTCATCAGCGTGATGGTGCTGGCGAGGTCATTGCCTACTTCAGCTCTGTGGCCAAGGACAGCGTTCAGGTCACCAACCCTCTCGCCTCGGCTGTCAAGCTTTGGCTCAGCTTCAAGGATATGAACAATTTCCAGACCACCGTCGAGAACTACTACGAGACTTGTAGCACCACTGGTTTGTTCTTACTTCACCTACTCACTTTCCTTGAGTTTGTCTGACCTTTTTCTACAGAGCAGCTTCTCTCCGAGAAGGTGACTCACATCGGTTGCTCTACCCGCCTGGGCAGAAAGGATGGCGCTCCGGACCCTCTCACCTCCTTCACCGTCTGCCGTGTCTTCAAGGACGTTGAGTAAGTTGCCTTGTCCTTTTTCTTCTTGTCCAACTCTCCTGCAGATGCTAACACTGGTTCGCTCCAGGCCCCCCGCTATCTTGGCTCGTCAGGATCTCAGCCCTGGTCCCTTCCAGGGCGACATCACCTTCTTCAACCCTGGTCTTGGCGCCTGTGGCTGGACTGACAACGACAACTCCATGATTGTTGCCATCTCCCACATCAAGATGGGTTCCCAGTCCAACGGAAATCCCCTCTGTGGCAAGACTGTCCGCATTCAGGCCGAGGGCAAGTCCGTCGACGTTAAGGTGACTGACAAGTGCATGGGTTGCGCTGAGAACGACATTGACGTCAGCCCTGCCGTCTTCAAGGCCCTCCTGGGTGACCTTGGCCGCGGCCGCGTCAGCGGTGTGACTTGGAGTCTTGTCTAGGTCTGCCTTTTTCTTCAACAACATTTCTCACTGCCCAACATGGATTGGGATTTCGGGAGGTACATTGACATTGATCAAGAAGACTGCATATTTTGGGGGAGATAAGGATATGGCATGGTTATACCGTGATGGGACGAGCACCTTAGTCCAGATATCTCCACAATGCAGTAAAGAATCATTTGCACTTGTTTGTTCCTGGTGATGATTGTCTGTGTTTCTTTCTCATGTGATCACCTACTCGGTACTTCCCTTGCTGTTGTCTGGCGTTTCGTCACGAGGCTATCATGGCAACTCCCTCGATCCATTGTCTTCCCTTGCTTTGCCTACGAACGTTGAGACTTAGCAAAGGTTCCATGGACAGTAATTCCCTAGCCTGGCTGGATGCCCGAGCCATCACACGAGACATCGGGAGTAGTCATCATTGACCTCTTTGTCGTCATAAATCATGGGCATTTATTTCATCTATATATCTTCCTCGGCCAGGCGTATTTCTAGCTAGATGACCCATCATGACGCGAATAGATACTTCTCCGATCACCAAATACCAAGAGTACCACCCAAAAACGATGCAAGAAAGCAAGCAAGCCGCCCAACATCAAGGATCATAACTACATGTACAACATACTCAGACTAAATACTACACCGCAACAGTATTCCGTTGCCGGATACTCTGCGACCTCAAAAACGAAATCTGCCCTCTCCGAACAGTCATATCCCCGCGCGGAGACCTCATATCGTCTTTATCCTGCGACATACTCGGCGACAGCTCAAGCGTATTACTCCCATACAAATCACTCGCCGACGGCGCGGGCCGCTCATCCCGCCTCGCAGACAAGTACAAGAAATCCCACCAAAACGAATGCTCCAAGTCCCTCGGCTTCCCATCAGCAGTCCAATACCGCTCCTCCGACAGCTCCCGCGACAGATGCCTTCGGAAGTACCGGTCCTGGTTCACCCACCACGCGCGCCACGCGACCAAAATCCCAATGGTCAAAGGGATGACGGTGGCCCAGTAGACCCAGAAGAGGTGGCTAAGCACGGGGATCGGATCTTTGGGGTTCGTGGAGGTGCCGCCTCCGTTGTCGCTGCTGTCTGCGTCTTCACCCGAGGCTTGCCAGTCGAACATGGACATGCCGAAGAGGGTGCCGAGGAATTCGCCGGGGAGGAAGACTGCTGTTATTACGGCGAGGGCTTTCATTGAGGAGGAGTCGCGGGAGGAGGCGACGGCCATGCGGGCGTTGAGGACGTTGTCTTCTTGGGCCATTTTACTGTAGATCTGGGCTGCATGTGAGCTCAGCGGAACACGGAGGGATATGTCGATGGTCACTTACGATATCGATCTGAGCGCGGCATCGGGCCTCTGACATACGACGATCTGTTTCAAGACCCATGCACATCCGTTGTAATCCCTCGAGATACTGCCGAATCTCATGCCAATGATTACCCAGCGGATCAGCCAACGGATCAGGAGCCTTTGGCAGAGACCGCCTCCTCGTACTCGCAGATGATCGTGACGGTGGCCCCGTAGGCGGTTCGTCAGGCTGGGCCTGCTGGTCCTGCTCATCCCTCCGATCGGCGTCCGTCTGCCGTATATGGAAATCATCCAGCCGGATCTTGAGCTCCCCCGTCGACATGCGCTCCGCGAGCTCATCACCAGCCGACAGCATCAACTTGACCACCCTCTCCATCCACCTAACGGTATCAAGAAGCTTAATCGACTCCTTGAGCACGTCATGCGCGCTCTTCATCAAATTCGCCATACTCATCGGCCCCGCAATCTGTGGCGTCTTCTCATTATGCGACGCCGCCGCCGTCGAAGAAGCAAACGTCAGCCTCCGCATGAGCTTCGACCTCTTCTCGCGCTCCATTTCGAACGCTTCGAAGCCGGCGATGGAGCTGACCTGCCACTCGAGGGCCTTGACGTGGTTGATGTTCTCCATGACGGCCTCTTCGGTGCGCATGAATTGCACCTGGAGGAGGACGACGGGGGTGATGAAGGGGTGGGCCCAGTGAGCGCGGCAGGCCTCGAGGCGCTGGTCGTATTCGTCTAGGTTCTCGAGGGAGTGCTGGCGCGGGTGGTAGGATTGGCGGACGAGGACGGAGGAGGTGCGGGAGCGGACGTCGTAGGTTAGGGAGAGGAAGTCGTAGGGGGTTCTTGGGTTTTTGGAGAAGGACAGGATGAGGCCTGCCTGAGTGTCAGTGTGGCGTCCATTGTGAGTGAGATGAGTTGGAGTTGAGGTACTCACTCAGTTTGGAGCGGTCGAGGGACCAGAAGCGGGATTCGTTTGTGACGCGGCGGGAGTATTGGAGGGTGGCGGGGTGTAGGTCCATTGCGTCAAGGTCTTTTGGGGTCATGGTGATGCCGTCTTCTCGACGGTCGAAGGACTTGTTGCGGCGGAAGCAGATACTGTGGTTGTTAGTCCCTGTCTGAGATGAAGGCCCAGAAGGTGAGTGAACTCACACTCGTCGGACCCGTCCATCTAGAACCAACTCTGGATGCCGTGCTGGATCTTGGGTAAATGCACCCTGGTAAGATGTTAGTTTCTTGTAAGATAGCCTCAGTTGGGTTATATCAGGGGGAGACTCGCATTATGGTCAACAGAGTACCCATGACGAAATGCTAAATCAAGCGTCTGATGACCAGGCACTTCCTCCTTATGCTGCAACTGAAAACTGATATCCTCGTCCTCCGCTAGTCCCGTCTTGGCGCCCGAGGGAATGCCATTGTCCTTTTTGAAGACAACGTACTCGTCGTACTCGACCTTGGAGACGGATTTGCCGTCCGAGACGAGGATGTCGTCGCGTAAGGCTAGGGTGTCGAAGCGGAACAGGTCGGACGAGTCGAGGCCTTGGTAGCGGGCCATCAGGGCGTTTTGGGGATGGTGGTGAGCTGGTTGGTGCTTGACATGGCCAGGTTCGGTGTTGGCAGATTGAATTGGTGAGTGAGTTGCCTTGGTGAATTGCCTTGGTGAGTGAGGCTTATTCTGTAGGTGAATGAGGTGAGAGTCGGTGAGAGTGAGTGTGAAAAGGAAAGCGAGTGAGATAATCATCCACCACCCCCCCTGGTCTCTCCCATCAATGAGGAACATGTTTTTTCTCTTTTCCCGCCGGCCAGGTTGCCTTGCCGATCTTGGCGGATGGTCGCAGCGACGCAGGCGGGTGGTTGGTGATTTTGGTGGGCCTCAATCGCGGGGCGTTCGCCGCTGTGCCGCTGAAGCTGAGGCTTGAGGCTTCAGACCTACAGGCTACAGCACCCGGAGCCATCCTTCAACGGCCGCCCCCTCGCTAAGGTCCCTCAAAGTGTCGTGATTGTTGCCCCCCGTGGCCCCCTGGTCCAGTGACATGCATCGCTAAAGTTTGCCTCCCCTCAGCCACCACTCAACCCCCCCCCCAGACGGCCTCATTATGGGTCTTGGCGGGCGTCCTTGGCGGGTCCTCTGTCCGGGGTCTCGCTGTAGTGGCTGCCGGGCAACATTAGGTTGGTATGAAGCCTGGATCTGAAGCCTAGGATCTTCCACCGTTGGTACCCCAAACAGCTGCGTCATCACCTCTTCAACTTTCAGATTAAGCTTCTCCATCTTAGTTTCAAGTCATTGAGTACACCAATAAATACATCAAGTTTCGCTAAGCCACGCATCACAGTTTCTTTTCGCTAATCTAGAACGGTTAGCTTCTCCCGGAACCATGGGGGACACCTGTTCCGGCAGCGCGGCACGGCCCAACCACCGAATAGCTTCAACCCCCGGTCCGCTCCTCCACACATCGGCCCTGTCACCGCCGATTCTCCTCACCACCGGCGCCGATATCCGTCCTCTTCTCCACTGACCCCTCCACCGGCCCCTGTGCTTCTTCGGGTGAGGCCGGTTGTGGTTTCGGTGCGTCTTTGCGCAGCTTGGAGCCGCCGCTCCAGCCGATCCAGCTCTTCTCCTGTGGACCCTTGAGCATGGTGATGATCAACGACAACCCGATGAAGCCGACTAAAGAACGTTAGTAACCCCCAGCAACAACGAAACTGAGGAGGAGGAGATACACACTTGAGGTGCCTGCGCTGTACTTCCACCCGCCTTGCGCATACAGCCTGTTGCCCACCGCCGTACCCGTCAACTGCCCGCAGAACACGCACACCATATACGCTGTGTTCACCCGGTTCCTGGCCTTGGGATTGATGGTATAGATGGCAGTCCGGTTCGCAGTCTGCGCAGTCTGAATACCCATATCTATGCAAATCGCCTGGATCACAGGCCCAGCAACGGTGAAGGTGCCCGTGAAAGCACCAATGATGCACCCGATCAAGATGACAGTCTGCCCAAGCACAGAAGACAGCCACGGCACATATCGATCCATGATCAACCGCCCATACACCGGCCCACCACAAATCGCCGCAATTCCAATCAGCGAAAACAACCCGATCGTAATAGAGGGATACTCGTACGGCGGCGAAGCCAACAAGAACGTCAACGTCGTCCAGAAAGACGTAAAGATACAACTAATAAAGAACCCAATCAGACAAGCCTGCACCAGTATCGGCTCCGTAAACAACATCGTTATGATAGTCCACAGCGCGCGGAAGTAGTTCAGCCCATCCGGGTTCGTCGATGGGTAATCCGGTACGAAGAAGAAGAGGAGGACCAGCAGGAGGTTCTGTGCGCCAAAGGAGAACCAGTAGATGTTGCGCCAGGAGGTGTAGTTTGCCACGATGCCCGAGAGAAGACGCGCGATGAGCATGCCGAGCATTAGGCCTGATGTTGTTATGGAGAGGGAGCTGGCTTTTCGTTCGGGGGGTGCCATGTCTGCTACCAACGGGAGCATGAGTTGTGGTGTTACTGTTGTGGCGCCGACGATGAAGGAGAGGCCTAGGAAGGCTTGGAAGGAGTTTGTTAGGCAGAGACCGAGCCACTGGAGATGTTAGGATGAGGTGATTCGCGAAAGGTCATGTTGGATTTACTCACCAGCATCGCTGTGACCCAGATGAGGCCCAAGATGAACGGCCGTCGTCGGAGCATGTCGCCCAGAGGGCAGATGAAGAGTAACCCCGCTGCATACCCGGCTTGCATCAGCGTCGCTACCGATGATGCTCTCTCGAAGCTGACATCGAATGTCTCTGCGATCCGGTTGAGCACCGGCTGGTTGTAGTAGAGATTGGCGACGGTGAATGTTGCAGCCTGGGTCGATTAGCATCTCATTCGATCATGAGTGTAATTGAAGGTAATTTACAACTGCGAACAAGAAGTTGAGACCGAGCGTGAATTGGGGAGGATTCTTGGGGTCATATCGCATTTTCCGCGGCGTCCACGTAAGAAACCCCACCGTCGCGCCAATAACCCCTTTGCGCCCATCTTTCTTGCCGCCATCTCGATGCGATTCGCAGTCCGAATTCGAAGGTGACGGTGAGGGCGACCTCGTCTCATTACCACCGCCCGCGGATAACCGCTTCTCGTCGTCTCCAAAACCGTCATCCCGGGCAGAGTTCGGGGCTGAATTCCGTATTACCTCCTGCGGCATGGAAGCTTCTTTTCCTTCCGCAGCCACCACCGCCTCGCCGGGCCCTGCCGTTGCGCCTGCGCCTGTGGGCGTTGAGCCCATGTCCTTGTTGCTGGTGTCCGTGTCACCTCTGCTGCGTTCAGCAGAGTTTCGCTTCTCCAACATCGAGTCCCCTCTGTATTTACTCTCCAAGTGCGATCCGATTAACTCTCTTTTCTGTTCAAGTTGTAGCAGGCATGCGAAAGAGTACCTCAACAAAGTCAAGAGTTTCCAGAGATTGTTCGTCCGCTTGTGAGCGAAGCGCTCTTAGCGTGCGGGAGTCCGTTGGGGCTAGTTGATTAGAAATGGTGAAGTCATTGCGGTGAGTAGGCAATCTTGAGAGGCGCTGTTTCTAAAGTCTCGATCAACCACCTGGACCCTATTCTCTGAGCGCAAAAGTTAAATCAAGTTGTAAACTCCATGTTCTTCAACGACGTAGCATTGATGAAAGATGAGGCTTCCGACAAGTCACTGAATGGCAATTCGGAACCTCGTCTATGACGCGACTCATGGTCGCTTTTAGCATTTACCGAGACTCGATTCCGGGGGATTGTCGCGGAGATAAGCGCTCCATTCGATGGCGCGAGATCGGGGCGGTGTCCTATCATCGTCGACTACGCCAACTGAGACTCAAGTAAGCTTGTTCGGCCGGCACCGACTCGGCGTGGGGGGGGGGGGGGGAGGGTTATTGGTGCGGTGGAGCGGCTTCAGTACCGGGATCTGTTCCGATTTCCGGCTTTTGAGACATGAGCCGGGCTGTTGCAACTGTACTGTGAATTTTTTGGTGGTTGTCCGAGGTAGGAGAGAGGGTGCGCGATAGACTTTGGAGGAAAAGTGTGAGGTATGGTGCGCTGCACTGGCTTTGCAGAGGTGGAAAGTTTACAGTCTCTCGAGAAACTTGTATGGAATCGCACCCAAATGGATGGATTGTCAGGGAAAATGAACAGAAAGCGCGAAAGGAGAAGTAAAGATGCCAAATATGCAAAACATATAGCACAACCTGGTTTCGATCCAGGGACCTCTGGGTTATGAGCCCAGCGCTCTACCCCTGAGCTATTGTGCTTGCTGATGAAACTTTTCCACAACTATTAATCTATATTGCTAAGCACATGAACCGTGCAAATTTCACCTCCAGAGCTAGTTCGCTTTCACATTTGTCAAATGCGTCCGGTTCACAGGTGCATCAATATCCGGCGAATATTATTTGCAATGAAGTTCTTTAGACAAACTCTGTCTTGGCTTTGAAATTAGCGGTACTCACCATACATCGGCTTCCACATAGTGATTTAGCGGCATAGTGCCCCTGAGAGTAGCTGTTGGTAATAATTCGTTCCTGTCTATCCCTTCACAGTTTGCAACGAAGCATCACACCATAGGCAGAGGACTCATTGTGGAAGGGAACGAATAGGCTGATATGTACAGCGAGACACGGATAGAGACCAAGGTATCGCGAACGGGAAGACTTGTCGAGTTGATCTGTCTCTTAGATGTTGAATGGCATAGCGACTCGTAACACGCGGTTGGGAAAGTATTTGGTGGCCTAAACGCTGTCTTTTCTGGCGTCAGGTAGTCTGATGCACTAAGTTACCTGTCTTTGAAACTTCACCTCCCCTCTCTTCTTTTCTCCCAGACAAGATGCCGATTTCCTGAATCCTACCTAGTCGCAGACAACCCGCGCCTTCACCAGCATAAGGTCAGAGCCATAGCTGTCGCCATCGGCAGTGCCAACCTTCATTAGAGCCGGTGAGATGTTGAGAAGAACGGTGCTCCCATTGCCGCGAGGCTCCTTCTCCCAAGCTTCGGCTTTCATGGACTTGTCCTCGAAACGAATGCGGGCTCCAACTGCTATTCGCTTGCGGCACCAATCCGTGTAGAAATAAGCTTCGGACGCCATGAATATCGCGCGGAGCTCCAGTGCATTATCGAATATCTTGTGGATGTTCTTATAAAGCTTTTCAACTTTGGCTTGGTAACCAGAGCAATCCGTGGGGATGAATTTGGCGAAGGCCATGATCTCCATATGTTCGACTCTAAGCAACTCCGCTTCGTCGATGCCGATCAGCTGGCCAATCATATCTCCGATCTCGGCTTTGCAGTTGAAAACCCTCGTTGGCTCCATTTGTCTGCGGTAGAATATGGCTGCCATATAGAGATATTAGTCACGATGGTCACCAAGAAGATATTAGGATAGGGTATGTTCTTACATATCAGCTTCTCAATGCAGGTAGTGAAACACATTCCGATCGTGCCAGCCCAAGCCTTCCCGTACGTTCCGTCTACGCCAGTGTCGAAGAAGCGTCCAATGACAGCCTCCCATATGTAATGTTCCACAACAAAGGCTCTCATGTCTTCGTCTTGATGCTGTTCGATGGAATCGTTGATGCCATTGGAGCTGAGGAAACAGGAATCGCTGATGCTGCCGTCCTTCAAATCTCTCTCTTGGGGGCAGCCGGTGAGAACGTGGTTGGCAAGGTAGTCGATGTTGTACTGCATCTTCGCCCATATGGCCGTGGTCGACTCGTCAGAAACCTTGCTGGAGTTTGCAAGAGGTTGACTCTTTAATCTCGTGTCCTCACATGCTGCGAATTGAACCTCGAGTTTCGTGGTCCGCTCCAGAAGCTTTTCACACTCATGATTGAGGTTGTTCATGGCATCTCGATGATTCGACTCTCGCTGAGCCAGCTCTGCCTCCGTATCAGCGGCCTTCTCAAGCGCCAACGCTAGCTTCCTCTCCATGTCAGCTGCATCATCATCTGTCTTGTCCAGGAAGTCCTCAAGTTCTTGCTTCTCTTGTTCGCATTTCCTAAGGCGATTTGAAAGGTCCTCAATGCGCTGTGCTTGTAGTGCGACCTTCGCCTTGAGAATGATGACGACGGTGCGTTTCTGGTGATGTGACACCGAGCCACTGTAGCGCACATTCTTTTTCTCCCAGTGAATAGCCTCTAGATTTCTGCTAAGAAAGCTTTTCCAAAGTCTTCGGTGGAGTCTCTGTCGAGGGGAGAGGGGTGTTTGACGTTCCCGATGAGCAATTGGCATCTTCTCGCGGGGAGAGTCCATGTTGGTTGGTTGCGAAGTCTCTGCCTCGCATGGCTTCTCTTTTGGAGATCTCACAGGAGAGTCAGCGTCAGTGTCATCGATGACTATGAGGCTTTCCTGTAATAAAGTGAGATTTCGAGAAAAGGATTTCCTAAAGTCTGAGTGTTTGGAGCAGCTTACCAGCGTATGCTCAGCCATAATGTAGCTGAGAAACTTGATTTGCCTCTAACCGATGTGAGGAACCTTTGCGCAAGTAAGCGAGCTTGCTTGAAAAGTAGGAGCGTGTATGTATAAGAAAGGCACTGAGTCAATGAGAGAACAATGTATGGGTAGAGGTAGAAGTAAGGATGGGTAGTAAGGTGAAGTAGGGGAAATTTTGCACCTTCCCCTTTCAACTGGCTCAGTGAGGTAGGCGCGCTTTCCGAGTCAGCCTGTGTTTTCTCAGACCTTTGGAAGAAACCTTGAGCTCGCCAACATACGATTTTCTAATTTTCTTTCATAAGGGCATATCTTATCGCGGAAGGTTCTTTCCTTTTTAATTGCCCTGTGTCCCAAGTGAGGCGAGGTAGGAACAGTGCACTCATCCCTCTTGGCTGTACCGATGGGGGATATATCTACTTCCCCTTTTCAGCTCAACCTCTCACTGCTCTCTCTCTCTCTCTCTCTCTCTCTCTCTCTCTCTCTCTCATCACACACTCCTCAAACTTCTCTTGCTCTAACTCATCATTATTGCTAAAGTCCTCAAGATTTGTAGTACGTGTTCCTCTAAATTACCTTTCACCTTGCCTGGAATTTCCATTCTATTTCCTTTTCACTTTTCACCATTCTCATATCTTCACAGGAGCTCACCAGTGTTCCTCCCGATTTCATCATACTTTTTCTCACACTGACAAAAAGGATCCAGGATACGGAGTCACAGAAGCTTACGGCCGGAAAGCAAAGCTCACCATGGTGAAAACCTGGATCTCTGAAGAAGATGAGAAGGCCATCATCATCGGCATAGACTTCGGCACGACGTGAGAATATGATACTACTCTCCTTCCTTCTGAATCTTCCAGGACTATCTGCTAATTACTCCAAAGCTTCTCTGGCGTAAGTTGGGCATACTCCGGTCAGCCCGACGACATCGAGGTCATCAGCCGCTGGGAGTCTAAAACCAACCTCAATTCCGACAAAGAGAAAGTGCCATCGTGCATTCTTTTCCGAGGAAAACGCGGCAACCCCTTTTGGGGATATGCCATTCCCAGCGATGGAAAGCAGGAGCCACTGAAGTGGTTCAAGCTCTTGCTCGTTGATGAGCGTGACCTCCCCGAGAACGTCCGGGATTCTAGCCAGATTGCTACTGCTAGAAGATTGGCTAGGAGAGCGAACAAGGACCCGGTTGAGATCATCGCTGGATACTTGCAACATCTTTGGAACCACACTATTGAGTGCATTATCAGCACAGTTGGCGACGCCATGGTCAAGATGTGTCAATTTCAAGTCGTTATTACTCTTCCGGCAATCTGGCCGGATTACGCCAAGGCTAGAATGCGCAGAGCTGCCGAAGATGCTGGCTTGCTGAAGTCCCGTCCAGCTGGAGAGACGAGCTTGTCCTTTATCTCGGAGCCCGAAGCGGCGGCTCTTGCTACGATGAAGGACTTGTCGAAGATGCCCACCGCCGAGGTCTGTGAATTGTCTGATTTTGAGTCATCTGTGACTGACTTGCTACTTCTCAGGTTGGAAATCACATCGTTGTGTGTGACGCTGGTGGCGGTACCGTCGACCTCATAACCTATGAGATCCTGAGCTTGGATCCCTTCATCGTTCGAGAGGCAGTTCAAGGCGACGGCGACCTCTGTGGCGGCGTCTTCCTTGATGAAGCATTTGTCAACATGCTTCAGGAGAAGGTCACTCCCCAAGCTTGGAACAACATTCCCAAAGAAGATGTCAGGAAGCTATTGAATGACGAATGGGAGAACTGCATCAAGCCTTCTTTCAAGAACCAGGACGACGACTGGCACATCAATCTTCCCCCCGAGTGTCGCGCTCCTGGAACCCAACAGAGAGGCATGAAGCGCAAGCGCAACCTCATCCTTGATCGGGAGGACCTCCTCAAGGTCTTTGACCCTATCGTCAACCAGACAATCTCACTGGTAAAGAAGCAGATCGATGCTGTCATGACCAAGACAGAGACGAAGCCCAAGGTGAGAAGCACTGTCTTTGATGGATTACAAGCGTCTAACACCAGGTGCGAAAGCAAATTATTCTCGTCGGTGGATTCGGCAGATGCCCGTATCTACGAAGCCGCCTCAAGCAAGAAGCTGGAAATGGCATTGAGATTCTTCAGGGCCATAGTGCCAAGCCGTAAGTTCTTTTCTTCGATTTTCCAGGACGATGCTAATATGAGACAGTTGGACTGCGATTTGTCGAGGTGCAACTATCCATGGACTGACGCGTCGAAACCTCGCACCTGGCCTCGCAGTCGAGATCAAGTCTAGGGTCTCTCGTATGAGCTACGGGACATGTTGCTTAATGGATTACGATCCTAAGAAACACAGAGTAAGCGAAAGATGCTGGTGCGACGATGAACTCTCTTGGAAGGTTAAAACTTGCATGGATTGGTTTCTTGAGCGGGTATGTTGACAAAGTTCTGTTTCTATTACGAAGTTTTTCTCTATGGAATTGAATAGGAGCTGACACGTCTACTAGGGAACCGATGTTTCTTCCGCCGATCCGGTTACAAAGTCGTACTACTGTCTTTGGGAGTCAGTTCCCAGTCAGGTCGACGACACGATCTATGCCAGCGAGGCGTGGCCCCCTCCGAAGAGATTGGACCACCGCGTCAGCGAGCTGTGCACCATCACTTGGAAGAAGAAAATCAACTTCGCATCCCTTCCTCGCTTCACCAACACCATGGGAAAGGTCTTCGCCAATATCAATTACGATGTGGAGATGACCTGCTCCGGAAAGAGCGTGGACTTTACTGTCGTCCATGATGGCAAGCAGGTGGGAGCTAAGAATGTCGAGGTGGTCTTCAACTCGGAGGATGACGAGTAAGTGGATGGCTTGCGAGCTCTGGAGATAAGAGGATGGATGTTTGCAGATTAAAAAGGCTTGAGGAAGGGAATGATTGGCTTCTATTGCACAGGGAGGGAGGGATGGCAAGTGGCACACAGACTATAAGCCTCTAGAACCGCTGAGAAAAGCCAAGGTCATTCCTCAAAGGGCAATAGAAAGTCAAAGTTGATAACAGAACTTCACCTGCATCATGACCTATACGTCCCTATCTTAGCGCTCCATCCATGCTGTTCGTGAAATGGCTGCTGACAAGCTTATCTCAGCCTCAACGAGCGCAATTCTCTCATTGGGCCACGACATCAAGAAGCCTCACATACGTTCCTTCGGGAAGTCGAGACCTCTACGGAAGCGTCTGATACGTCAAATCACGTTCCGTATCTTCGAAGTCAACGACCGTGGCGCTTATGGCCTGCAACCCGTCAGCTTGGGCTCGCGGAAGCTTATCAAAAACATCACCTGCTTGACCCGTCATCGTGTCACGTCAGCAGACGGCCAATCGGACGGCGATGGGAGTGACGTTGGTGAGATTGGGAGCTCCCAGATACCCGGGACGTTGACCACCTTTATGCATGGCCCGTATGATGAGCTTTGTATGCATCCTTCGTCAATGCCCAACCAACAGTTGGTGAGGTTGCTGTGAGCGTTGGTACCGGTTCAAAGAAGTCGTCTTACGGACCGACTATCCGCGCGCCTTTGTGTAACCTGAAATGGTTTCCCAGCGGCATTGACCAGAATCTCAAAGACGCGTATAGCATGAATCAAACGGATTGTTTTCGTATGGGCTGTCTTTGTTGCTGCCTGCGACTTGACGCCAGACAGTCTTGGCGGGTAAGTTGGTAAGCTCGCTGACTCCAAGAGACAGCTTTGATGTGCTGCAGCTATATGCAAAGCTTATACGCTGACTCCAATATGAGATTTACGAGATTACTGAGGCCATTGGCCCAGGTCGCTCAAGTCCAGCTTATGGCTTGCTGGCATATGAGCCTGAGAAGGGGACAGTAGAGGGTGTATTTGAGCAGTCGTGAATCCGGGCTACAATGAGTGGATTGATGATATCTCGCGCTTGGAGGCCACGACCCCAGACCTTTCAGACGAGAACCCTCGATAACATGACGGCCAAGACTGAGACCCAGCTCCAAAGAGGAGGCCCCTTGGAGAAGGTCGAGCCCGACTCCTCCTCCACCAAGGGCCCTCTTTCAGGAGACAACACCGACACTGAGCGAGGCAAAGATATCGTCGTAGTCGAGCCCGTCCGTACCGTCACCGGAATCAAATGGTACCTAATCGTCTTCGCCATCCTCTCCTCAACATTCCTCTTCGCCCTAGACAACACCGTCGTCGCCGACGTGCAGCCGCAGATCGTGCTGCAGTTCGACTCCATCAAGGATATCGCATGGCTCGCCGTCGCTTTCATCATGGCGGCCACGGCCGTCAACCTCTTTTATGGCCAGCTATATTCACATCTCAAGCCCAAATGGCTTTACATCGCTAGTGTCGCCGTGTTCGAGGCGGGCAGCGCGCTCTGCGGTGCGGCGCCGAACATGAACAGCCTTATTGTCGGAAGAGCCTTGTGCGGTCTCGGTGGTGTTGGTATGTATCTCGGTGTCATGGTCCTCATCGCCGCTACGACGACGATTCAGGAGAGGCCTGCATATCTTGCCAGCATCGGGATTACGTGGGGGCTCGGGACGCTGCTTGGGCCAGTGGTAGGAGGTGCTTTTGCTGACTCGGATGCGACGTGGCGGTAAGTTATCCTTCACATTGATCGATAGCCTCCTCAGTGACTGACACTTGACAGCTGGGCTTTCTATATCAACCTCCCCATCGGCGGCCTGGCCGCGCCGGTGTACCTGTTCATGCTCCCGTCCCCAGATCCTCAGCCTGGCGCGACCATCCTACAGCGGCTGGCTGAAATCGACTGGATCGGTGCTCCGCTGATGCTGGGTGCCATCGTCTGCTTCACAATGGGCATCTCCTTCGGTGGCGTCCTATATGAATGGAACTCGGGCTCCGAAATCGCCCTCTTCGTCGTCGCAGGCGTCCTGTTTATCGTCTTCGGCATCCAGCAAGCGTACTGCATCGGCACAACCCAGGAACGCCGCATCTTTCCAGTCGAGCTCATCACCTCTCGCAAGTACTACCGGACCATCATCCTCATGTTCTGCGTCACGGCCGCCGGGGGCTGCGCCATCTTCGTGCCGGTGTACTTTGTTCCCATCTTCTTCCAGTTCACGCGGGGAGACAGCGCAATCGACGCGGCTGTCCGTCTACTGCCGTTCATCCTGGTGATGGTCGCTGTGACTTTGACGCAAGGAGGCATGCTGTCGCATCCATCTGGGAAGTTCGGGCTGTACATGCCATGGTTCACAGTCGGCGGTGTCATTAGTGTCATTGCTTCCACATTGATGTACGTCGTCAAGACCGACACCAGCACGGCCTGGATCTACGGGGCCTCGGCCATGCTCGGCGCCGGCGTGGGAACTTTCACACAAGCGGGCTTCTCGATTGCCCAGGCCAGCGTGCCAGCTCCCAAGGCTGCTGTCGCTTCCTCTCTGATTGCCCTGGCGCAGACGAGTGGCATCAATATCGCTCTGGCTGTCAGCAATGCCGTGTTCCTGAACAGAGCTGAGAAGCGGCTGACTGCGATACTCCCGGACACTGTCACGGAGGACCAGATCCAGGCTGCGATTGCCGGTGTCGGGACGGACTTTGTCACGACGCTGCCTCCTCAGATGCAGCAGGAAGTTCTTGAGGCTATTGTTGAGGCTCTGAATCTGCCGTACACATTGGTCATTACTGCTGGGGCACTTGTCTTGGTCTGCAGTGTGCTGATGAAGAGGGAACGACTGTTCATGACGGCTGCTGTCGGTGTTTGAAAGTCTTTGGAGCCTGGAGCACAGAGTGAAATGACAGGAGATGAAGAAGAGTAATGAAGATGGAGATCTGTAATCTTGATGACGAGATCTTGGGCGGGGATATCGTAAATATGAGGGTGGTTCGACTAGGTATAGAATCTATGTAGATGAGATAGATGAGCGTATATATGGCGAGAAATAAGAGGTTGAATGTAGGACTGCTGATGTTAGCTTCCATCATGAGGATTATCGACACGTTTTCCACTCGAAGAGACTGAGTCCTAGTCATCACTTGGAGCATGACTAGGCCGAGTGAAAGTAGCACTGCTAATGCAGTGCTAGTGATGAGTGAAATGTACAATATGAGTGAGGCAAGGGGTGAGTGAAGGGGAGGAATGAGAGGAGTGAAGTCGTCGCGGTGGAACGTGCACCCACGGGCCGTGCGGAGAAACGGGTCCCAGCGCGTCTTACCTAATGCGCTCAAAGACCCGCTATTTTAAAACAAAGCCACAGGGGGACTGCAGCTCCATGTTGCAGGACAGTTTCGCTCTAACCCGTTGCGGCCGGTCCATCCCTCGGTCGGAGGACGTCCAAAAGTTGACACCTCTTCGGAAACTCAACCACAGCTCTGAACTTCGCATCAAATCCCGGAGCTCCGTCGCGAACTCATCAAAAATCGCCTCTCTCCTATTCCCGACGACGAAAAGACGTGTCGCCATCGATTCCGGCCCGCGAACACAGCATGAGTTCATGAGAACAGGGTCCTATTGCGCCCTCCCTGCTGTCATTCGTCACAGTCCGCCATGGCCGTTGCCGGCCTCCCTCTGGTGAGAGGCCACCTCGTCCGCGGAGTCTGGATCGCGTTCCTTCATCTCCTTTTCGCGGCATCAGTATGCGCCTACACACCGCTTTCAGCAGCCGTGCTCAAGAATGTCACGGTATCTGAGGCCGACTTCGACATTCACAACGGCCCGTTGTTGGCCCCCATTCTCATCACCCGGGTGCCCGGCACGCATGGGCAGCTCAAGACTCAACAGCATTTCGTTGACTTTTTCACCAAGACGCTACCAAAGTGGAATATCCAATGGCAAAACTCAACAGACAAGACCCCCGCCACGGGCAACAGCGATATTCCGTTCCAGAATCTCATCATCAGGCGCGAACCACCATGGACGAAGCCTGGTCAGGCTAATTATCTCACCCTGGTGGCGCACTACGACAGCAAGATTGAACCCAAGGGCTTCATCGGCGCGACTGACAGCGCTGCGCCGTGTGCTATGCTGCTGCACGTTGCGAAGACGCTGGATCCGATGATGACCCAGATGTATGATGAGATGGTTGCCCTTGGGGAGAACGGTGGCACGGTACCCCAAGATATGGGACTGCAGATTCTGCTGCTCGATGGAGAGGAAGCCTTCAAGTCCTGGACGGATACCGACTCACTATATGGCGCAAGGTCAGTTAAAGTATGACGCGAAGTGAGGCTCATCGCACTAACATCGTGCTGCAGGTCTTTGGCTCTCGAGTGGGAGAACACCTTCAACCCTGCCATGTCTCATTACAAGAACCCCCTCGAGCAAATCAGCATGTTCGTGCTGCTTGATCTCCTTGGCTCAGCAGAGCCCAAGGTCCCCTCCTACTTCCAGTCAACCCACTGGGCCTACAAGGCTATGGCCGACATTGAGAAGCGCATGCGTGACCTTAACCTACTCGAGAGCAAGCCCAAGATGCCGTTCCTCTACGACATCAACAAGATGAATCAAATGTTTGGACGCAGCGGCATCGGTGACGACCACGTCCCCTTCATGATGAAGGGCGTCAACATTCTGCACATGATTCCCTCACCCTTCCCTGACGTATGGCATAAGATGGAGGATGATGGAGAGCACCTAGATATGCCGACTGTGAGGGACTGGACGAAGATTGTGACGGCATTTACGATGGAGTGGCTCGATGCGATGGAAATAATGCCTGAAGAGGCACAGAGGTAGCATAATTAAGAAGTTTGGACAGTGGAAGCTGAACTGTGTCTTTTGTTCAAACAAAATCATCTCTGTTCACTGCTTGCTCTTTTGTGTTGACAAATCCCGCATCCTGGAATCATTTTGTTTGCGGTGGAGGTAGAGCGTCTGCACCCATGTAGTGTGTTTGCCACTGTTGTGGTAAACCAAGTGAACGTTGAACTTCTTGACCACCAGGGGGCAATCAACTGAACCTCAAAGGACAGAAAAGTAGCATGGGAATCTGTTCTTATGATCCTTTTCGAGAAATGAGGCACGCTTTGGATTATGAATTCAAATGGTTCACTCTGCCGCTTACTTCGGAACAGAAGACAGACTTCGAACAGCTAACTCGAGGCTACATGTAAGAGTCGCCGCCCCAGTATTAATGATTCAGGCTCCGAAACAGGAGATAGCAATATAATAGATCATTGATTCTTTAAGACCCGAGGCATATTTTCTCGAGGTTTTCTATTCAAATATTCGATCTTTGAAGTCTAAAGTAATTGTTGGATCTCTGGTCAGTAGGTAGAAAAGGGTGGATTCGAAGGCAGCTGGGGCCCCCACTTACGGGTTGCCCAGTGTCACGAATTATGGGCCACAGCAATGGGTTTATAAATCAGGTTAAGCTGGATTGAATTGATCCATTCATAACGGAGAAAGTAGAGCAGTTCATTTAGTAAAGAAAATAATGTCTACGTAACAAAACACGTAGTAGAGTACCTGGCGAGTGCTGATGCCATTCCTGTTTCGTGAGACCAAAATACAAGCTACTTGTGGAGGAATTGTGGACTTCGCTCGATTCTTGCTCCTTCCACCTCTTTAAGCGCAGCAGATTACTCGATTGTTGAATATTGACGTCGTCGCGAATAGAAGGTCTGCCCTGCTGATGTGTATATCAATAGTAACACTCATAACTAGCGGAACCTACTAGTAGAGCATACGAGAGAGATGAACACCCGCCGCTCGAGGTTGAAGACCGATCATGAAAAGATAATTTTCTGTTAACGATACCTTTATTTTTACTTTACGGATTGTTCTTAATTACTTGCTGTTCGACGTGGCAGCTAGCGTATGTAAAACACACTCCAAGAGGTGTGGTACTAGCATAGAAATGAATCTAAAGTCTTGCAAGTAGCAATTGACAATGAAAACATGCCCTAAAAGCTCGCGAAGACCGAGATTTCGAGCCTCGAGGTTGTTAATGGTCTTGTATATGTGCTCCAAGGTTGGCCGAGACAGTGATATGGACATGTTGAGGAACCATCATGGCTTTCATTGGGACCCGTGTGTGGTGACACAGCAAATCATGTGGACTAGGTAGCTGATCAGCGGCATGTGATTGATATGTTGATGATTAAATTGGAAAGGCCATGGGAAAATCAGGTTCAGATATACCCTGTTTCACGTCCCTGAAAAAGCGTGATCCTGTCGAGACCGAGGGCTTCGACCGCCTTCATTACTTCAACCAGAAACGTGATCTTGAGTCAAGCCTGATTGCTGTCTAATTTTCAAGGCTTACTTGAAGATCTTTCTGCGGTCATAGTATCTTGGGACTTCCGTCCTGAAAAGATCTATCGGGAACTTGAGGTTCTGGGCCTTGGCGATTGAGTTCTCCACACACCCTCGAATTTTCTTTCTCTTGCGGGTGGCGGCATTGGAAACCTGATATGACTACTCATCTGGCCAATGAGAAGCTGCTGGGCCGTAATCCTCTCTTTGTACAAGCTGTTCACCTCATGCTACTGTCTCGTCATGAGGAGCCCACTCACCATTTGATCTTGCGTAAGTATTGTTCGCTTCGTGGTGGGGGGAGCCAGATTCCATCTTCGAGGAAGACTTGTCAATTCCCCACAACAAGGCGAAGCAGGATCCTTATGAGATAGTACCACGTTACGAAGAAGAAACAAAAGACTGCGAGTCTGAGTTCGAGTGAGTAGTATCGAAGGTGGCTTTGCCCTTGTAAGCTGCGATGTATGGCTCATAGAGTGGAGACCAATCGGAACACAGCGCCCAAACACATTCAGAATCAGACATTAAGACGCGGGTTTTTATTGAGTACTTACAACTAGATGGAATAATCATCAACCGAGTTGGCTTCAGTGCTGCATGATGGTAACGAGGCCCGGAGGCAGGTGGTGCGCGATGCGCCTGCTTATTCAGCCAATAGTCGACCAAGGCCAGCACTACAAGCTAGACATGCACCGCTCATACGCTTGTCAGGCACGCCAGATCTGGCCGGGCAGCCGTGTCTACTCCCTGCTCAATCCCCCACGAGCTCACATGCCGCTTGGTCTTGTGTAACTACACGGAAGCCACAGGCTCTGATTGTTTCTTTTGTGATGCGGGGGTTCAAACTCCCGTTCTCACACAGCGCCTTTGTCAGTAGTGCGGTAAAACAAAGAATCTTAACTCTCTTCACCTCCACGAGGGACATTCAGGCGAGTTTCAAAGGAATAAACATATATAGCCTACATACCTCACAATATGATCGGCTGAACAACAGGCTTTCAGGCGTCCATACTCAATAATTTGGATTCCAGGCGTGCTCTGCGTTCTCTTTACAAGCCAGGGGGATATAAATCAGAAGCATGCTTCCTCGAAAGTGGACGGACCACGACAAACGTTTCAAAGCACCACCGTCTTCTACGTTCGTGATACCAAATCGCGGAGAACGGGTAGGTTCTAGATCAGGAATGTGGAGAGGTAATAAGAGATTCTTCGATGTTGGTCCCAAAACTTACAAACGAGGCAGCTTCATTACTACACGTCCAGTAATCAAAAACCTGAACGGCCGCCCTTGACTCGCAGGCATGACGTCGACTCACACCAACGAGCAATGGCAATCAGTCAATGCAAAAATACCGTCCAACAGAATCTTCGATTTTCGCAAGGATGGTTCCATGTCCCTCGACTCATTCCGTATTAACAGCAGACCACCTGACTTGGGGTTCAAAGCCATAGTCTCCAAGAAAAAGATGGGGGAAGCTTCGAAACGGTTTTCAGACCCCAAGCGGCGTCAAAAGCTGGAATACGATCTAGCAAAAGATCATCTCGCACCGATTATGATCCTCCTTGACATCGCTCACGGCTCTGGTATCTTCGTCCCGAAGATGGTTACCGCAATAGAGCTTGAATTTCTAGTGATTCATGCTCACATGTACGAACTCGAACATCTTCTGCGCCCTTATCTCAAACTCTGGATGCCTTCAAAGGAAGAGAGACTCGGCGCGGGTAACTGCTGCGATTGTGTTGCCTGGGTCGCTTTAGAGATTGGTAACGATGAGGTTTACAATGAAATGATCAGCCACTTGGCCTTCTGCAGCGGCGTTGATGAAGGAGGCAACATTATAAGCTTAGGATCAAGTACCGATCTATTAAAAGGCAGATACAAATTTATTGATAAAACAGAAATCCCCGGTAAGTTCTCCGCACCTTGTTTATTAGGGACTCAGAAAATCCTCATTGTCTAATTAAAATAGACGCAGTAACGGAGCTCCGTACCGAATACCTGCGCTTCCATCTCAAGCAGCTGAAGAAAGCCATTGCGCCCGAAGACAACAATAGAGTCTGCGTCGCTGACAAGGCAACACCATGTGAGCGCGATAGATGTAACTCCGCAATTCTCAATAACATGTCTTACCACTCCACGATGAAGCTTTGCGACAAGCTCAGGGTCGTCTCCTTGCCTGGAGGTGATCTGAATTATCTGGGCAGTGTCAGAGACTTACGGGATATGCTGTTGGGAACAGAATGCTTTACCATTGAGGACCATAAATATTGTGATCCTTATAGAGAAATGAGATTGAGACTCAAAATTATTTAACTTCAACTGATGCCTTTTGCCTCTGAACTCGAATCAGCAAGATATCTCACAGAACAACCTCGGATCTCAGCATGGGCGTCCTCATAGCAAGTAGACTTTCTTTCTAAACTTCTGACGTATGAGAGATCATTGGTTTCTCAGGCCCAAGACATACTCTTCGAAGTTGCCATCAATGTACCCGTAAATTCAAATGTACACGAGGCGTACAGGCAGTGCACAAAGAAGATGATAGGCTGAAGTGGTCACAGAAGGGCAAAGATCCCAGCAATAACTCCTATCCCGACTGAAAAGGTTTCATTCGAAGATCGAGGCGATCTCACTCTCAAGTCGGCAATCTCAAGGACGGCAGCGTGGTCGAGTTCGTCGTCTGCTCTCGGGCACTGGCCCGCGCATCTTCCGTCTTTCGGGCGATGCTCTTGGGTGGATTCTCCGAGTCCAAGCCTGAGAGAGATGACTGGGTCGTCGAGCTTCCCGAGGTCCGCACTGCGCCTTTCTCCATTCTCCTGAAGATTATCCACGGCCGTTTCTGTGAGGTGCCGCAGTCGCTGACGCTGGAGGAGCTATATCAGCTTCTTGTTGTCACAGATAAGTATGACATGGTGTCGGTCATATTTCAGTTGGCGTCAACCTGGTTCGAACCTTAAAAGTACCTCAATGCAAGAGATGGGAACGAAAAACTGTTGTGGATCGCTTGCGAGCTTGGAGACCAAGACGCATTTAAAGGACAGCTGAAGATCTCGTCCTGACGTCGGGAATCAACAACCAAAACCAGCTCCTTGATAGCCGAGGAATCCCTCTCAACACTTACGAATGTTTCGATGCCAATGGGTTATTAGGTAGGTTTCTGAATCGTGAAGTCACCGAATAGCTTTAACAAGAAGGAAACAGATAACATCCAAATGACCCGGCAGCGTCGTATTTATGATCTAGGGAGGTTTATTGACAAGGCTGCCCGGGACGGACTGGCAAGCAGAGGATGCTTAAAAGTGCAGGAGCCTAAACTGGAGGTGCCTGTTTGCATCAATTTCTATGGCAACCCTCCGAAGGCTGCTGTTCCGCCTGCTCCCGAATGGGACCTAGTCAATGCTCGGTGCAACAACACCTCCCTGGTTGAAGTGATGAAGCTTGCCGAGGCTATAGTCCTATGCAGATTCGGATATTCGCTGGTCTTGGGACTGGGAGGCGAACGAAATCATCTTGGATCTATCCAAACCCTCAATATAATGATTACTGCTGCAGCCTACAGCTACCGAATCTAGGCTCCTTCATTTCCCTATTCAGGCTAAGCTAAGTGAAGAATCTCACTCGAAGCGCACAAATCCTACATCATCGCCGCAACTTCAGATAGGGGCTCTTCGCCCGAGCTCTTTTCTCGCGTAAGAGCTTCCTCTCTTCAGCCGAGTACAGCCCATCCCCCGTCTTCTCTCCAAGCCTCCCTCTAGAAACGTAATTCTCCTCCAGCCAGTCCGTGTACCCTGCCTTCTTTGCGTCCACTACCCCCATGTTCACCCTGTTCCTTTCAACCTGCCACACAGTGTCAAGCCCAACCTCATCCATCTTCTCACAAGGCCCTTTCTCGGCGTGGAAGAAGTCCCGGAAGAGGGCGTCGATATCTCGGGGCGAAGCGAGTTCGGCCTGTAGGATGCGCAGCGTGTCGGACTTGACGGCGGACCATATCCGGTTGAAGACGAAGCCAACCGATTCATGAGGGAGCGCCAGGGGGTTGAACCCCACGCTCTTCATCTGCTTTTTGAGGAAAGGCATGAGGTCTTGGTCCGTGACGCCGCAAGTCATGAGCTCGACGTATGTGTTTCTTGGTGGTAGGTGGTAGTGAGTGTTCAACAGGCGCTCCGGCCGAGTGATGAGATGCCTCAGAGCTGATGTCGGCCATGTCGAGCTGTTGGAAGCTAGGATACAGTCTTCAGGAACAACCGCGTCGACCTTGCCCAGCATCTCACGCTTAATCTCTGGATCCTCCGGGAGAGCCTCGATCACCATCCAGGGGTTGCCACTGCACGATTCCTCCAGAACAGTGCTAGTCGTGACTCGGCCCGGGTGCGTCTCACGAACAGCGCACACTGTAGTGAGTGCGTCGCCGACATAGGGCATCGCTGAAGAGAGCACGCTAGAGTCGACGTCGTGGAGAATGACGGGCCGACCCGTGGAGGCCCACATAACGGCTAATCGCCGGCCGAGGACCCCGGCGCCGAGGATGACGACGGGCCGGGAAGTGGGGTCGCTAGGCGGCGTCCATTTCGGGGTTACGGGGGCTGTTGCTGCTTTCTCAGGAGAACGGCTTGAGAATAGGCGAGTTTGATGTTGAGATGAGAAGGAATTTGATTGCCGGCATTGCGTTGTAAGTTGGGCTTTGGGGAGGTGTATTGCTGTCGTTGTTGGCAGTGTTCTGGCTATTGCAGCCGCTTTTGTGATGCTTCGGCTTGTGATGCCGCTTGTTAGGGTAGGTTGAGTGCGCCATAGTTGTTGACAAGTTCTTCTAGATGCCATTGTGATTCTTAGCTTCTCCTATGTTTGTTAAATCCGAGGGAAAGGCTGTTCGTTTTATAGTAGCTGTCTGTCACATCTCGCTGAGCTGATGATGATGGCACTGTCGCATGATAAGGACGGCCGGGAGAGTGGCGTGATGTTGTCGACTAACACTGGGCTGACCTCAACTGCCAAGGTCGGGTCTTCGCGGCCGGGGTTCCAATTGCATCACGCAACTGGGGAATATCCCCAGATCTCCCCGGAAAAGCAAGGTCACTTGCTCGGGTAGTCCATGCCGCCCTACATCTAGCTTCCGCTCATGCCCTGTCTCCTTCGGGGGAGGGGAAGCCCATGATCCATCTCGGAGGTTTTGCATGACGATGCTAGGCATATGGTCACCTGGCGAATCAGGACCACACCCCCATCAAATGCGAGCATTTCACATGGAACTATGACTGAACGATATAAGAATTCTACTTGAAGGTCTGTAGTTGAAGAACTAATAACTCAAGTGAAGAAATCAAATGTTCGCTCGCTTCACCGATGTTGTTCTTTGGAGTGGGCTAATCTGAGCATCTCCAGAGCATGGGGAGGGAAACAAGTACGTACCTATAGCGATGGTGGGGTTGGCGGTGCTCCATTGGTCCACTGCCCAGGTACCCATTCTTTGGTCCCGAACAAATTCCGTTGGCCGATTCTTGCGCGGACAGCAACTTCAAGACCAACATCCAACGCGGTTGCAAGCCTCCCTCTTTGGGCACGAACAGCAGCAGTACAGCTGCAGACGTCGTCATCTATCATCTGTAGCCAAGGGTCGACTGCGATTACTGCCGCGTAGGCTATAATGTGCGGGATCCACGTCGTCGTTACGCGCGACGGCTTCCAGTCCCTGCCGCAAGACGTCAAGACATGCCTCTGCAACCGCGGTCCGGATCATCTGGGCGAAGCTCGCTGTCAAACATCAGGCGGTAGCGGTAGCCCTGTATTCCTGACTCTGACCTCGACGGTTCTGGCTCTGCGCGGTGACCACATCACCCACCAGCCCTTTCGCGACGCGTCTTCTGGGTCCGTTCTATGCTGGAACGGCGAGGCCTGGAAGATTGCAGGGGAACCCGTCCATGGGAACGATGGAGAGGCGATATTTGCTTTGCTCACCGCGGCCAGTAAGCGCGACGCACCGGAAGATGCGATTTTGAATGTGCTGCGCAGCATCGAGGGCCCTTTCGCGTTTGTCTACTTCGACGCGACTTCCTCCCGTCTATTTTATGGTCGCGACCGCCTTGGTCGACGCTCTTTACTACTCAATGGAGAGGGAGGAATCAGACTGTCTAGCATTGCTGAAAGCACATCATCTTCGTGGGCAGAGGTGGAAGCAGATGGCATCTACGTTGTAGACTTGGCATCTTGGGACGGTGAGTCTCTGGGCTCAAATTCGCCTCGCTCTTGGACGCCAGGTGAGACCGAGACGGTAAGCTAGATATCTCGCACGGCATGCATTACGTTTTTGCTACTTACGATATCAGGTCCTCAACATTGGAGTCTTCAACATGTTGCTCCCGCCATCAGATGTTCAGTCACTCTCAGCAGTGTCACCATCAGTACAAGCAGTCAGGCAGCAAATGACCGAGTCGCTCAAGTTACGCGTCTTGAACGTTCCTGAACCCCCAGCCCATGATGCTGGCAACGACACGCGAGTAGCTGTCTTGTTCTCCGGCGGGCTGGACTGCACGATCCTGGCGCGGATGGCTAGCGACCTGGTCCTACCTGATCAAGGCATCGACCTGATCAATGTGGCCTTTGAGAACCCTCGCTTAGCAGCGAAGGCTGACAACTCTCTTGGTGCGCCAAGTCTCTACGAGGCTTGTCCAGATAGAATCACGGGAAGGAAGTCCTTTGCCGAGCTGACTGCAGTCTGTCCTACTCGTAGCTGGAGGTTCATTGCCGTAAGTTCGCTCATCTTGACTCGGTCATTCTCTTATACTAATCCTTAGTAGGTGGATGTTCCATACCAAGAAGTACTCGCGCATCGGGGCCAAGTGATCTCTTTGATGTATCCCCATAATACCGAGATGGATCTCTCCATCGCTTGCGCCCTCTACTTTGCCGCCCGCGGCATCGGCATGTCACAGAGTAGCCCGTCAGACTCCGCTGTCCAGTACGCTACGCCGGCGCGAGTGCTTCTCTCTGGCCTCGGGGCAGACGAACTCTTTGGCGGCTATGTACGGCATACCACCGCCTTCTCGAGGAGAGGCTACCCGGGCCTTCTCGAGGAACTTAAGCTAGACGTCAGCAGACTTGGGAAGCGGAACCTGGGCCGCGACGACAGAGCCATGTCCCACTGGAGTCGCGAGGTTCGATTTCCGTTCCTCGACGAGCAGTTTGTCAAGTGGGCCATCGAATGCCCGGTCTGGGAGAAGTGCGACTTTGCCTTCTCCGAGGCAGAGTCAGGAGTTGATCCTGAGAAGAGGGCGCTGAGGCTTCTTGCTAAGGACCTTGGCATGGGCGCAGTCGCCCAGGAGAAGAAGAGAGCGGTTAGCAATATCCGACATCGATTGATCATTCCTCATACTGACCGTTCTGCTAGATCCAATTTGGCTCGAGGACAGCAAAGATGGAGAGCGGAAAGACCAAAGGCACAACACTCATTGCTCCATGAGTAGGAACTAGGAGGCGAGTGCTTCCCGAGACTGGCGATGATGACGTACAGATACTTCCGAGCTGGCGGTCCCTTGGACGAAGTCGACAGCAACTGCGCGTTTCTGCTCTGCAGTAACCCTTTGCTTCCGGCATTCGATCAAGTATACAATTAACGACCGCTGGCAATGATGTCGTAAAGGCAAGTCTGAGCCAGAATATAGATGGGTCGAAATCACCGCACAAAACTAGACAAGAATTTACTTTCGATACTTCTCGCCAAACATGGTTCCATCACTCACGACACATCTCAATTTGACCACATTGCTGGCTGTGTCGACCAGCTGGTGCAAATAAATTTACATTAGTCCTCCAGCACCATGACTGAAACCCCAGAGTCTCACAGATCGAACGCTGGCGGCGGTTTCGTGAGACAGCGACACAGGGTAAATGATCCTACTGCTACCCGGCTGTGCCCATGCAAGCCAACATCACGCCAATGTCCCAGCCGTCCCTTGCCTGAGCCTCGAGGTTTCCCGCATGGGGTGCCACAAACAGCGTCCCCATCCCGGCTTGGCAGCAGTCGCTTAGCTATTCTCAGGCCCTAGGAGACACAAACGACCCTGTCATAGCCTTTCTAGTGGGGAAACCACGGGCTGTGCTGTCTCTGTGTGATCCTGCTGCCTTGACGATCAACCCACAGACAACCCCAGGGGCAGATGATGTGCTGCATGTCTTCAGGCCGCTACTCTTACTTTAAGGCTAGGCTGACCTTTCCCTTTTTTGACGTTTTCGAAGTAGCCGTACTTCTTCAAGCACAATGCTAGACTGCGAGCATTGTTTGGATGCAATCTGAAGGCTTCCTAGCAGTCGCCAAATGAGCAAGTATGCATCATCTTGAAGGTCCCTGGGCGGCGGCAGACAGCACCAGACGTCCGCCGTACAATTCAGATTCATCGGATCTCTCGCGAGATGATCGCCGACCGCTCATTCACGTGCAATCAACCGACTCAGCAGAGGCCCGCACCGAGCCGATGGAGTCCGAGCATCACCCCATACCAATGAGCTCCATGACCACCGAGCCCGGCGCAGCCCACGTCTCTGGCGTCCCGCACGTAGCATACAACAAGCTTTCTAACACGGACCGGAACTCGGCGGACTCGCCCGGCTATGGCGGTTGGGACTACACACCAGGAAGAGCAGACACAAAGTCTCATCTATCCCACAAAGAATCCGGTCTCACCCCTCCCGCACCCAAGCAGGCATGGAGTACATCCCTCAAGGGCTGGCTGCCAGAGCTCATATGGTCCATAATAAGCATCGCCTCCGTCGCCGCCCTCGCCGGAGTTTTATCCCGTTTCGACGGCCAACGACTCCCCGAGTGGCCGCTCGGCCTCACACTCAACACGCTCATCGCCTTCCTCGCGACGTTGGCGCGAGCTGCGTTTGTGATCCCGGTCTCTGAGAGTCTGTCGCAGCTGAAGTGGCTTTGGTATCGCAAGGAGAGGCCGTTGAAGGATTTTCAGGACTTTGACTCGGCTAGTAGAGGGCCTTGGGGGAGCATTCAGTTGTTGAAGACGACCAAGGGATGGTGAGTTGATGGTTCTGGCCATGATAATAAAGCCTTGGTGATTGCTAACTGTCAATAGGTCTCCTAGTCTCATCGCGACGATTGTCATGATCACGGCAATCTTCACATCGACCTTGACGCAATCCGCCGTCACATACCCCGTCCGCCTCACGCGCGTAGACGGAGACGCTACAGTAGCTAGGTCAACATCTTACTTCTTTAGTACATCCAATACCTTCTCCGGTCGTACGTCCCACCCTTCATCTCTCATCCGCATCCCACATTCACTAAACATCCCTCTGCAGTGCAGCAAGAACACTACGTCCAGCAATCAATCTTCGAAGGCCTAAGCTTCGACCACACCAAAGAATTCCCCCTCAGCCCAGCCCGCTGCCCCACAAGCGAATGCCAGTGGGAGACCTACAGCTCGTTAAGCATCTGCGCCAAATTCTGGAATATTACGAATTCATTGAACGTCACGACTAAAGAGAGTCCCATTGGGGCACCGCGGGTGAAAGCTTCACTTCCTAACGGGATATCTGCGAACTTGAGTACCTCTCACTTCGGCCTCGTTAGTCTACGTGGTACGAGCAAGCCCATAGCCTCGGACGTGAACCCTGATGCGGCGTTGTTCAACTTTACGGTGATTTACTCCCTACGAGAAGGGAACGACGGTGCGGTCGGAGCCATGGAGGCTGTGCTGTACCTTTGCGCAAAGACGTATAACCTCTCCTTTGCAGGCAACATTGAATCGCGCAAGGTTATCGATGTGACTTCGGACGTCGAACAGGGCTCTATCACGTTCCCTTCCGGCCAGGTCAGAGACGACCTACCCGCGATACGGGACCCCCTCAACCCCGATGAGGACAATTTCCCCTACGGCGGTACGGGGCTCGGCACGATGCAGGGGAGTCTCGCGGATGCGCTCAACGGATCGTATGCGGATCTCAGTAATGTACCAAGTGCCCTCGGTCTTGCGCCGGCTCGGTACTTGGCTGCATTGCAGTACGGTGCCAAGACGTTGGAGGCGCAGGGGCGTGTGAATGTGTCGCGAGAGGTTGTGATTAACGAGGCCGTTGCAAATATCACAAATAACGTTGCAAGGAGCTTGTCCAATTTGTAAGTCTGCTGTGATGTTTTCCCTCGTCTTACGCCTGTAGATAAGGTGACTAACGTAGTCACACGCAGCATCACCAATGACACCATAGTAGCAAGAGGGCAAGCGCTCGCATCGGAGACGTTTGTACAAGTTCGCTGGCCTTGGCTTGCCTTCATCTCTTGTCAGGCCGTGCTCTCCATCATACTCCTGGCTCTTGCCATTGGTCAGACGAAGGCGGCGGGGATCGGGGTGGTGAAGAGTTCTACGTTGCAGGCTATGGTGGCTATCAACTCCAAGGATAAGCAGGCCCTCGAGATTAGGCTCGCGCAGAGGCACCACCAGGAAGAGGTGGATGATGTTGTTAGGAGAGGGCCTGGGATAGCTTGGAGCTTGGGTATGAGTGATCGGGGGTGGAGTCTTCGTATTTGACCATATTTCACAAGGCCTTCTAAACAACCACGGCCAAATGGCCCAGATATACGTAGTTTACTTATGAACAACTATTTTGAGAAGTCGAAATGGAAGATTAAGAGTAAGTTGACGGTTGATCAGGGGCCTTGCGCATGCTAGCCACGTCGCTGCAAGTGATAACCAGTCTCCACTTCCCGACAACCATCAATTACTTTAAATTTTTGCCCGCGGAGATGATCCATCCGCACTTACGATGACTCCTCCGCTCCGGTTTTGACGTCCTCCAGCCAGGTATACCATAGACAGCGGCTACGATGTCTCGACAACTTTTACATCGCGGTCTCGCCGAAACAGGCCTCCTAGCCCTCAGCAGATGCCACCCCGACATCAAGCTTCTATGCCTCCAGCGCTTCGTGCGCATGTTCGCCTACGGCGCAACGACCCTGCAGCTGGTAGCCTACTTTGAGCTCCTCGGGCTCACGGCGACGCGAATTGGCCTGTTCATGGTATTCACTCTCGTCGGAGACGTCTGCATCAGTCTGGTCCTCACTTCCATCGCCGACGGCGTCGGGCGGAAGGCGGTGCTGGCTGCGGGCGCGGCTTTGATGGCTGTTAGTGGTGTTGTTTTCGCGACGTGTAGTGGGTTTTGGGTGTTGTTGGCTGCTGCTGTGGTAGGGGTTATTAGTCCAAGGTAAGAATCCACACATATCTCTCCGGGGGAGGAAGAATGTGCGAGGCTGATTGTAAGCAGCGGCGCCGAGATTGGGCCTTTCCGCGCCGTGGAGGAGAGTATCGTCGCGCATTTAACCACTGCAGAGGATAGAAGCGACGTCTATGCTTGGTACAGCCTCATGGGTGCCGCTGGGACTGCATTCGGTGCAATGACGAGCGGCTGGACGGCGCACTACTTGACGGTCAATGCAGGCTGGGAGCTCGAGGCCGCGTATCGCGTAGTCTTTTACGGGTATGCGGCGCTGGGTGTGTTCAAGTTCTTCCTCGCACTGCTCCTGGGCCGTGATATCGAGGCTGAGTGGGACGAAGCTGGCGTCTCTGAGGAGGAGACCGCCCCCATTTTGGGCGAGCGGTCGGCCGAGAGGGAGGTAGAAGCCAAGACTTGGCGATCAAAGATTGTTCCCAGAATTGAGAGGGAGAGTATGCCTGTGGTCATCACGCTATGTTTCTTCTTTGCGCTTGATTCTTTTGCTTCGAGCTTGACCACCCAGTATTTCTTCCATGACTCTCTCCTAAATCGTGATGCTGACTTGACGCAGGTCCTGGATCGCCTTCTTCTTCCGCTGGAAGTTCAACGTGGACGATGGAACTCTAGGTTCTCTGTTCTTCACCACAAGCCTCTTGGCCGCGGCTACAACCCTAGTCGCGTCCTCGATAGCCAAGCGAATCGGCAATCTAAACGTACGTAAAATCACAGAGCCACGCCTCCCACTATCTCGATCAGCTTGCCAGACTATCCACTAACCTTTCATACACAGGCAATGGTCTTCACCCACCTCCCCTCAACAATCTTCACAGCACTCATCCCTCTCCCGCGAGACGCCGACACCGCCATCATCTTTCTGATCCTCCGCGCCCTAACGCATTCCATGGACGTCGCGCCGAGGGCGGCTTTCCTAGCGGATGTGATCTTGCCCAAAGAACGGACTACTGTGCTAGGCTTGATCAACGTTTTGAAGACGTGCGTTTCGAGTGTTGGTCCTGTGGGCGTCGGAATCTTGGTGGATAGGAATCTGTTCTGGGTTGCTTTTGTGGGTGCCGGATGTCTCAAGGTTGTTTACGATCTTGGGATGTTGGTTTCTTTCCGTAAGCATGAACGGGAGCAGCATGATGGAGAGGCCGGGGGTGCTTAGACGTAGGTAGTATATTGCAGCTATCTCGTGAGGTAGCCCATACGAACCTATACTGCACTGGCGATAAAGGCGTTATTTCGGGAAGTAAGATTTAGCAAGGAATCTAAAAGTGCAAAGGTTGACGAAGATCGTAGTAACCAGTCATGTGTATTCAAGCTATCAGCCAATGTCTCCATCTCTATCCATGTCTCTATCAATCGCTGCAGAATCTTCAAGTCCACGGACTACACAAGCCAGCCAAGATGCTATTGGACAGTTTAGCTGTCGCAAGATCCGAAAGAGCTGGCGATCCAGCCTCTGCAGCAAGCATCGAAGGCGGCGGCACTCTCCTGTCTGTTGGGGCAGGAGAAGGCAGCGTTGTGGAAAGGTCCAGTGACGACGTCGTCTTAGCCACGCGTTAGTACAAGAAAATGAGACACTAGAAGGATGGCAAGAGGATGGAGGAGGTTGCACTTACTACCGCAGCAGTGGGCCGTAGATCCCTGGGATCCCTGGTCGTTGCCGTCCTGGTTCTTGAACTATAGGTCCAATAGTCAGCTCTGTGTGTCTTTTCAAAAGCAACGGCGTGTAAGCCCGAAGTTGCTAGGGGTAGGTGTGACGTACGAGACACACGCAAGTGCGGGCATCGACCAAGCTGCTGGAGATGAGCAGCATGGCAATGGTAGAGATGATGGAGGTCTTCATTTTGAGTTTTGGTAGGGGTGGAATAGTAACTTGATGTTGTAATGAGTTGATGAGATTGCGTTTGTCTCCTGATCATATTTTTAATCACTAATACTGCAGAACACCCAGCTCTATATAGGATTTGCCAAGTTCACAGACTTCAGGTTCTAAACTCTTGGAATCCTTCTCGAAGACAACTACGAACCTACGATACGAGAGTCCTGCAAAAGTCAATTAGATGTCAATATATTACCCCGGAGTTAGCGGAAGGCAAAAGTTATCACTAGCAAAGCTTCTGCTTGGACCTTTTGCAGTTGACGATGATGGTCTTCGCGCCCCGTATATCCACATAGCCCAGTCAACGAGTCATACATATGTTCTACAAAGCCACTATATCGTTGACAACTCAGTCAGGGGAACAGGCGGTGTCGTACAATTCTGCCCTCACAAAACAACTCAACCTAGGAAAAAAAGCTAATTTAGATTATTGTCAATGGTTTGGCCGGCCCGGAGGACAGCGCACATCTCGCACATTCGGGAGCCGGCTGCGGCGAATACGTCGGTTTCGCATTCTACTTGTCTCCGTTGAAGGTCCGCCTCTGGTGATTGCTTCAACGGTGGTTAAGCTCGGAGAAGTCGCCTCATAGCCGTGCCGTCTCTCCGAGTTGCTAGTTGCTCGATTCCCCCAGATTCAGGAACGGCTGGGGGACACTCCTATGATATATTGCCTCTACAACGATGAGCCCTCTTATCTAGTTGGCCGTCGCACGGGCTTTTCGTGTGCGGTAACACCGTAAGTCAATTCATCGGAGTCGTCAACGCCCTAGAGCCTATGACAATGTCCGGAGAACGATATCCGACAGTGCATATCTGTGATACCCGTGGGGGCAGAAAAGACCCATCTGCGCCGTTGGAGCCGAAGCCATGATCCCTGAAACTCCCCGTGATGTCAGATCATTTGTCCTCCAGTCTTGAAACGTAATGAGCAGAGTATTCACCATATGTTGCAGGACTGGGAATGTTCGTGCCATTCTTAGTCCGGACTCCGGCCTCGGGGACAAGTAGCAGTGGAAAAGCTCGTGGCTCGCTCCTCTGCACACCCGAGTACCGATCAAGAGCCAGGCATGAAATGCTGACTTTAAGCCCTTAGTTTGACTGAACCATATATCAGTTGGGCACTTTGAAGATCTGTTCGGTAGACGGAACCAGACGCCCGAGGTCGTCTGCGTGTAAGAATCGGGGGTTGCATCGTCTTTTCGGCGTTCGGATCGGCCCCACATGGCCGGCAGGCCCGATATGATGGTTCAGGCCGCACCTTCTCGCCTAGAAAGTTGCCAATGTTGATCAGCTCCTTGTCTTTCCTCGCTTTTCAGAAGGCCCTCAAGATCGAATCTTCCGGCTAAAAGCAACTTCTTCCTCTCCACCACCACCGAACTCTAAATATCGTCGCCCACTTTCGTACTTCTTGTCGATCCATTGGCCTTTCAACCGCAATTCAAGGGGCCAACCTTAGCTGAGAGACGATGCACCGAGTTGATGATATACCGGACTCTTTTGACAAAGACACAGCAGAGATACTTGTCGTCCGGACCGTAACACGTACAATGCTTTTGTCATGAACCAGCGACCGAAACGACGCCGATGACGACACGGGTAAATGCGACAACAACAGCGGCCATCAAAAGGCAAAGGCGCCCAAGGATCACGGGGCAATGAACACTTTCCCGCATATCAGAACGAGATGTAGAGTCCTGCATTCGTGGTACGCACTTGACATCCCTGAGGCCCTGGTGTGATCGTTACCACGGTGACGGCATTTCTTCGCGATATGCTCCAGATCGTCTTCACGTTGTCCGGTCTAATACGATCATTAGGTTCATGCTACATCTCGTCTGCCATAGCATGACTAGGAGGGATGAATTCGACTGCCGAAAAGCGCCAGCGGTATTAGAGACGGCTTGCAGCGAATAAACCCCATATCAGTCGCATATGACAGCGTCGAAAATTCACGGCAATGCCTAGTCCTGACGTTGAGATGTTCGAGCCAACAGGGTCGCTTGCCGAAGACAAGAGGCAAATGGCAGCTGCCAAATGCGCGAAAGCATCATGCCAGAGCTTGGGACGAAAGAGATGACACGACTCGATTCCGCGCTGCATGCCACGTATCGGAGGGCCTACATCAGCAGTGCCTAAGTACGGCGCGGCTGTGGTGCTCGAAGAGCGATAGCATACACGCTATGGATTTCAGAAACAGACTGGATCCAGAATTGCCTTTCACGGAAAGCAGAGCGACGTTTCGTTTCCAGGTTCCATGCTGTTTACTTGTAGAGAAGGGATGGAGAAGGCCTCGAGGGGAGAGAGGCTGTGCTTCGTTGGCAAGGGTTACCCGCCATGCATGACTCTTCAGGTTTGTGGAGAGACAACTCAAATGATTCCTGGCCAACAGTGAACGAGTAGTGTTCATTGAAAAGAAGAAGCTGGCATTATGCAACGTTTCGCTGATCAAGACTCACAGGAACACATCATCGACAAGTGTCTCCTTCGCTGGCCCGAGGCTGCGTGGAATTCGGACGTGTTCAGGTCCCGAGGCTTGACAGAAAAATCAGGAGGACGGCTCGGATATTTCTGTCTGAGCTTCAAAGAATGCGACCGTCGGGGCGTGGGACTTGATTGAGGTTCATCTGGTCTAAGACTCGTCCGAGCCAGAGAACAACCACCGAACAGTGGACACTGGACACTGGCGGTCAGGGACTTAGGCTGGCCCTGGGAAAGACGGCAAGAAGCAGGGCCCCTTGTAACGAACCCCACGAAGCGAAGAAAGAGTGTTGCGCTTGGCAAGACTTCAGACCGAGCCTCACCAGGGCATCAGGGGCCACCATCGACTGGGCAGCGCCGCAGCGTGCTATTTCTAAAGATGGTGAAAGCTAAGGACAGTCCGGTGAGCGGCCCCGCACGAGACGGTCCATGTTCAAATGTTGTGGCACTTCGCGATGCCCCTGGAAACCAGACTACTGCACGGGACGGCGTCGAATGCCGGTGCAAGGGGGGCGCGCATAGGGTTGGGGAGCTGTATGATCTGCGCAGGGCCCATTGGCTTTGAATGGTCGTTACCAAGGACTAATAACAGATGCATGCTGCATTCGGGGACGCGGTGCTGTTGCAGCTCGCAGCTCCGTTGCACCAACAACACGGTCACACGGGTTCGGTTTGGAGGAGACCGGTGCCCCTCTAGAAGAAGCCAAGAGATATCTGCATCGGACATCTGGCTCAAAACTACGGGTATCTCCCGCAGATGCTTTCCCGGCCGGCGTCTGAGTCTCTTTCTGCTTCCTTTTCTTCTTTTCGACATCTAACATCGCCCAGACATACGTCGGAAGGGCCCGATCGATCCATTCCACCTCGCTGGCCGTCGTCTCTGTTTCCTCGTCCAAGGTTTTTCTACCCTTCTTTTCGTTTTCGTGTTTCTCGAACCTTGTCCGGACACGCCCTGGCCCGGCTCCCATCATCATCTCGTCCCATCCCGCACATGCCTGATCGCCAATTTGGCTGAAAACGGTCGTCCAATCGTCCACCCTCTTCAACATTATCTTCAGCCCAGGTTTAAGAAAGGATCAAAGTACAAACTCAACGACACACCGTCCCGTCTGCGACGTGAACTCTTTACACATTCTCATCTACTTTGTACCTCCGGACCTCTCACGACTCTTACTCGCCCACCTTCACTCCCACCCTCACAATCACACTTAGAGTAGCACTCATCCCACCCGGTGTGATCTCATGCCACGTTCCAGAATCCCGAGGTTTATCTCACTTTAATACTCGCCCTGCACCGCGACTCTTGTTATTACCCGAAGCTGTCTTATCACTTCTTTACTTCCCGTCTGAGACACCAGCCGCATCAGTCACTAGTACCCGGTCTTTATTCTTCGGTCCTGGCTTTTTGCGCCTTTACCCTTTTGGCATCTTTTCCCCCATCGAATCTCATTTGGTTTCCCCAATCTCCCATAACAGAAAACGTCACTGGCATGCTGGGCAATCTCCAAACGGAAAACTAGTCGAAATAGACGAAGAAAAAGACAGAAGGAAAGGAATAGAGCACAGCAGGACTCGTCACCGCCGAAAAGGGATCATGCTGAAGGCCGTCCACGCAAACCTTCAATCCTCCTCACCTCTTTTCGCCCGCCTTTGATCTCCAAACAATCGTTTGTTGTTGAACCTCGAGATCCTTGGTGGTGCAGCGGCAAAACACAGCAACAGTCACTACCACACAATGGAGCGCCCCCACCGTCCTCCGCCGCTCACGATCCCCCCGCCGCCCCGAAGCCGGACCCGAGTCCGGAGACCTCGCCGGCCCAACGCACAACAAGCGCGACAGTTCAAGCGATGGCTTCTCCGCGCGCAAATCGCCAATGACGTAGCGCACGTTGCTGCTGCCTCGATACTCTTATGGATCATGTCGTGGTTCCTCTACAACGTCTCGTTTCCTCTCACATATCATACCGGGTTCGTCCCCTCCTCATCCACCGTCCCCTTGAAGATTATCCCCTTGTACACATCTCAATTTTCAATCCACGTACTAACCATCCTCAACAGTCCCGCCGCCGTAGCCCTAATCGCAATCCTCTCCACAGACATCCTCCTCGACGCCCGCTCAATAGTCCACGCCCACGACCCCTGGCCAGGCTGGACCCTTCTCCTCCGCCTCCTCCTCGGCGCCTCCCTCATCGCAATTTTCTGGGTCTACATTGCTCTCGGCGACGTCTTTGCGCGTGGCTTCACGTACTGGGGTATGCCCGACACCTACGGCCGCGTGCTGGCGTACATGTTCCTCTGGGGCATCGGGCTCTGGGATTTGTTGTTTGTGGTGCTGTGTCGGCATTGGTTGGGTAAAGAGGTCAAGAGGTACGGGACGAAGGCGAGAAGGGTGTTTGGGGACGGGAATGGGAGGAGGGGAGGGATGGGGAGGATGTCGCCTGGTGGGAGCGCGTTGAGGCTGGGTAGTGCGGGTGGAGAGGCGCCTGGGCGGATTGGGGTTGTTGATGTCGAGGCTGCGAGGCCTGTTGATGAGGATGGCGGCGGTGGTGTTGGTGCTGGGGGGAGGGTCGGGTTACCAGTAAGGATGGGTGTGAGGAGAGTCAAGAACAGCGTGAGCGCGAGCGTCAACTCGGTGGCCAGCGGAACGGGGCCTGGGAATGGGATGGGAAACGAGGATTCATCGCCGCCTCCGCCTGCGTTTATGAGGCCTGCATGACGTTTGTGTTGGGAGTATGAGGTTTGGAAAGCGAGATATCTGGCATAGCATAGTTACAGTCACACAAAAACAAGCCTACATTAGTTAATGATAATCAATATCAAATGTTCCAATATTACTTATTTCTTACAGATGAAATGTGACGTGGTTTATGGGACGACGTGTCCGTCTGATGGTGACTTCGGTTCGTCTTGCCGAATTACCTGCATTCGTCTGATTTTTTTTTTTCCCCTGGAGAGCATTAACAGTAGATGGTCGCATGTCATACAGCGTCTGTTGCAGCACGTCAGTCCATTTTTAAGCATTGGCGTGGAGGACGTTGTGTGGGCTGAGTCGTGAGGGTATACCAGGCAAGCAGTGAGTCTTAGTACGTCAAAAAGCCAGCTTTATCACATGCTTTTGAGATGCCTGCAGAAGCCACATTAGGGTGGGATTGGGTTACTGATGAACTGCAGTCAGGCTGCGGGTATCATTTCTACAACGCCATGTTCTATCTCGACTTTTGGGATAATCCTACACCTATCGTCTGTTCCCCGCCTGTGATTTGGCGATTATTTGGGCGCTAGTAAAGATACCACGGCTTCATATGGGCCATCTCTTTGGGTGTAGAGTACGCCTCTTCAGGTATATCTGTGCCGGCCTGTCGGCTTCGTCTCGTCTGCCGTCCCTTCTTCGGGGCCTCTGAGGTGTCATCCTTGGACGTGGTAACAGCCTTGGGCGTGGTGACAACATTTGGCGTGGTAGACGTAGACGATGGGCCCGCTGTCGTCTTAGAGTTGCCCGTCAAGTCAACGGTCTGCGCAAGAACATTCCCAAGAGCCGCCCCGATACAAGCAGCACCAAACGGGACACCCGCCAAATTCATGAGCAGAAACGCCATAGTCTTATCCTGTTGTTCGTCACCGGGCTTCTATCCCGCAATTGGTTCCGTAATCTGCTTCCCGAACTTGTCAACCATGAAGTGGCTGAACGCCTCTTCATCGTTGTCGTCGTACAGCATCGGATCGTCCTTTTCAGGCCCAAGGCGCGCGTAGAGGCCAAGTCCGGCTTTGGGCCAGGAATCGGGGAGTGCGTCCTCTGAGTCTTCGGCGTCTGCTGCTGCTTGGTCGGCTGCGCCGGTGGGTGCTGTCTTGAGGATCTTGCGGACGCCGCCTGTCTTGGACCGCTGTTTTGAGGGCTTGGGGGCCGAGCGGTGGTCTTGCTGGCGGCGGGGCTGTTGTTGGTGTTGCTGTGAGGTGTTAGTCCTTTTTTCTTTTCTCAGATGGGGTCGGCGAGGATGGTAGACGTACGATCTTTGGTTCAGCCCAATCTGGCGAACCGAAGATGGGCAGGTCGGGGTGCTTCTTAGAGACAGAGGCGAGAACATCTACGAGAAGGCCAGTGTGGATCTGTTCACTAAAAAGGAGGAGGTTGACGAGATCGCTCCTCTTAAGGTCCGAAAAGTACTCTCGTCTCTGCAAACGCGTTAGAAATGGTCCAAAGTCCCGGATTGGGCGATTACCACTCACCTCACTGCCGCTGGCATTGCCTCCATGGAACCCAACAAGGCTCGGCTTAGGAAACTCGGGCAGTGTCGCAAGCCTCTTCTCGCGCTTCCTCTCCACGTCGTTGTGATGCTTCTTCCACTCCGACTGCTCCTGCTTCGCCTCGCGATACTTTGCAAGCTCGCGATGATACTTGGCCTGCTGCTTTTCCTCTTCCTTGCAAGTGACGCACTTGAACTTGGAGGGACCGCTGCCGAGGGCATCTGTCGGGATCTCAGGGCCATGGCAGAGCTGATGCCAGGCCTCGCCACAGCCACAGGAAATGATGAGGTTGCCTTCCGTCTCGGATATTCGGTTGCACTTTACGCACATTGGTTTTCCGCTCCCGTCGTCCTTGGTGCGCTTCCTTTTCACTGGTGGCCTAGGTACGGGGCGCCTGAGGATTGCGGGTTCCTGGTAGGCGGGGATGTTTGCAGATTTCCGGAAAGTCTCATCTTCCGCTGCCGTGCGCTTCCTCTTTGCTCCAGAGGGTGGTAAATAGCTAGGCAGGGCTGACAAGGCTGTCGTGGGTTCTGCGTGAGGATGATGAAGGGTCAAAGGAAGGTGCGAGTAGTCCACAGGTAGGTCTTCGGCTTCCTCTGGTGCGATCTCGGGCGTTGAAGGGGCAGGAGTTGCGACGAGATGGGACGGTGGTGATGCTGGGGTGGCGCCATTAAAACGACCCGTGATGAATTGCGAAGCTGAAAGAGAGAACTGCGGGTCGTACGACTGTTCTTCAATAGCTGGCGCGGGAGGCGACAAAGGAGCCGGTGACTGTGACTTTACATCGTGGCGATGCTCGATTGGAGCAGGCTCAATTTCTGTTTGCGCAATGGGCGCAAGCCACGGCTGGGGAGCTTCAACTTCGACGGGGGCTCTTTGCGCATCTTCGGGCTCTGCTTCAACGGTCGGCGTGGGTAGGATTTCCATCTCAACTGTGGCGTCGATTTCACTTAATTGAACCTCATTGGTAGCTTCGGTGTCGATTACCATAGGTTCCGAAGCCGGTGGCTCCGACATGTTGATGACAAGGTAGAGCTTGTGCCGCAGTAAAAGCGTGTAAGGTATGGATGGCTTGTGAGAGCTGATGATGAAGCTAGCAGACTAGGAGGGCGATGCAAAGGACAAAGAATTCAGCTTCGGGATGCCGAAGCTTGTATCAGAGATATCAGAATCTTAACGGATGGAAAAACATCTTTTGGCGTAATGGGTATCTTTTGGGGAGAAAGGAGAAAAGAATCACAGCTTGATGTGTACGCAGGAAGTCAACGGCAGAAATGCCATCAAACACGCGACCACTGTGAGTCGCGGGTGTCACGTGCGCAGTTCACCGAGCTCACCGAAAAAGCCCGTACGTACCTACCCTGCCGTGCCTGCGTAGCTGCCCACCTTGAATTCGTCGGTCAGCGAGGGCCAACCAAGGTGAGGCAGGAAAGACGGAGACAACTCAACATCAAGACAGCAACTTCAGTAAAGCGGCGCTCTCATGATATGTAACGGCCCTTGACCCATGTTTGAATTCTTTTCTTCTCGCTCGGGTATAAATTGGCTATGTTTTCTCACGCTCATAAGGCGCAAAGACCTTGGGGTCGGTTGAATGTGCACTTCAACTATTGTATATGCTTTTTGTATCGTATACACGAGGCCTTTGGACGGGTTAGAATTGCTGTGCATAGGGCCCAAGATGCATCGCGATGTATATGGGAGCCCACGTTCCACGCCCCCGGTTCACACCTTTTAGTCTAAGACTGATTGGCCAATTGAAAACGTCACTCTAGTGTTTGCAATGTCTGCGGAGGGGTTAGAATCGCAGTGAATTTTTAGACTTCTTGTGGTTCCTCAGTGTTCACAACACCTTGAGAGGGGTCAAAATCGCAGTGAAGCGAGTTTCTTGCACAGACCTCTAATCTAACCAACCACACCCTCCCCTTTCAACGCCCGAATCCTGTCCTCCGAAAACCCAAGATGTCCCTCCAAAACCTCATCAGTATGCTGCCCCAGCGTCGGCGGCACACTCCTCACACTAGGCTCGCTCTCAGAATACTTGACCGGCGTATTCACCATTCGAATCGGCCCGCACTCTCCATGCTCCATCTCGACAACCATATTCCGCGCCTTCGTATGTTCGTGCTCCAGCGTGCCCTGCACATCATTCACAGCCGCGTACGGCATGCCCCTACCCTCAAAGACAGCCAACCACTCCGCCGTCGTCTTGGTGACTGTGACTTGCTCGATAAGCGCCTCGAGTTCGACCCGGTTGGCGACGCGGTTGGCGTTTGTGGCGTATTTTGCGTCGTGTTGCCATTCTGGTTTATTCAGGCCTTGGCAGAGGATGCCGTAGAGGCGGTCGTTGCCGCCGCCGAAGAGGATATCGCCATCTTTTGTCTTGAAGGATCTATACGGCACAATTGAGGCTAGTGAAATGTCAGCACTTTTCGTAAACCACAAAAAAAAAACATGCGCTGAGAGAGAGAGAGAGAGGGAGAGAGAGGGAGAGAGAGGGAGAGAGAGGGAGAGAGAGGGAGAGAGAGGGGGAGAGAGGGAGAGAGAGGGAGAGAGAGAAAGTAAACTTACGATGCGCCGTCCCCCACCGTCCAGAATCCTTCTTCCCACTAATCAAACAACTACTCGCAATATTCGCCAACGTCGCCGTCTGGCAATCACTCAACGCCACATCAATATGCTGTCCCCTCCCCGTCCTGCCCCTCGCAAGCAGCGCCGCCATGATACTATTACTCGTATACAACCCCGTCGTGAGATCCGTCACGGCGACGCCGACTTTGACGGGTTCCCCTTCGCGGCTGCCGGTGATGTGCATCAGTCCGAACTCGGCCTCGACCATGACGTCGTAGCCCGCGCGGTCCGAATACGGGCCCGTTTGGCCGTACCCTGTGATGGAGGCGTAGATGAGGCCTGGGTTGATTGCGCGGAGGGTGTCGTAGTCCATTTTGTATTTTTTGAGGGTACCGGGGAGGTAGTTTTCTACGAGAATGTCGCATTTCGCGACGAGGCTGTGGAGGATTTCTGTGCCGGAGGGGTGTTGGAAGTTGAGACCTAGTGATTTCTTGTTGCGGTTCACCTTTGGAAGTCAGTCAGCTTGGCTCATGTGAATAGCTAAAGGATACTGACTGCCAGAAAGTAGGCTGATTCGCCAGGTCCTTCTTTAGATGAGCCCGCTTTGTAGGTCGCGTAGGGAGGACCCCATGCTCGGGTGTCGTCGCCACGGACGGGATGTTCGACTTTGATCACCTCGGCGCTTCAATGATATCAGCACGGTTGCTCAGCATGAGATGGAGATGAGTGAGTTTGACTAACCCCAAGTCTCCCAGAATTTGTGTACAGTATGGCTGTATCTCTCATATCAGTATCAAACTTCTCAAAATGCGGGACGAGAGATGCTCACTCCAGCCAAAACTCTCGTCATATCAAGCACACGATACCCCTCAAGCGGCAGCTTGTTGCTCGGGACCGACGAATACTGACGCCACGCCCTCGGAAGCCGTAAGGACTGCGGACATGACCGCGCAGCTCTCGAGGCTATCCGGGATGATACTTTAAGCGATGAAGAAGCCATTGTCTTGGTCTTTGAATAAAATCAAACAAAAACAAATGAGGGAATGCTCTTGCGGGGAAGTTGTTGCTGGAGTTCAAGACCGGCATCATCGAGGTTCGCGACTTGGTTCCCCAGCTCCGACCCCGGTCTAGCTCCGGTCCGTTGGCGGGGATGCCGTCGGGTAGGCCTCGGCATTATCCTGGTCGCTTTGGATATGGCTTAGGTAATTGGGCACAGACCATCACGGACGTTGTCCAGTGCTCTGAAACTCGGCCTCGATTCTCCCGTCTGCAAGTGAACGTGGTTGAATGCACTAAAGCTAGGTATCATCGAACCATAGCAAGCAGCTCATCCATACCAAATATCTCACGATTCTATTCTGATAGTTCTATTCTTACATGTGATTCGTTTGCGAGCTCACAGCCGGATATTGAGCTGCACTGACGCCGAACGCCTCCACAAATGTGGTCAACAGAGAACGGGGAAGTCCCATGGTGGAAATGGCCATCATTAACAAAGCATCTTTCAACCAAATCTAATCTTCCCAGTATTTCTCTCAGTCTAAACTTAGACAGCACTTGACTTCTAGTGTCGTCGCCTCGCGTTGTCTTGCACATTCACAACCGACGTTGACTTGGAACCTCGAGAGTCTGCCGGCGTCGAGTTTGCCGAGGCTCGGGTGACCCAGTGGGAGAAGAAGGTGAGCCTGGTCGCTGCCGCGATGGCGATCGCGAATAAACAGGCTCTGAATTATTCCTTGGCCTAGATCTGCTCCGTGGCGGAGGCGACAATGGCGATTCCTGCGATATAGGTGATACTGGTCGTGGTGTCGCAGGTCCGGCTTCGCTTCCTGACTGGTGTCCTGGGGATACTGGCTCCTGTGGCTCATGTTCCCGGTATGTACTATACTGTTCAGCCGTATCTCTCAAGGTAGAACTCCTGAATCGCTCTCCGGGAACTTCTGGCCACTTCCTTTCTCTGTAATCCGGGGCCCCGAATGGATCTTCTGTGGTGCTGCCAAACCATTTCCCGACCTTGACCAAGCCGGCCGAGACCTTTCTTCTGTGTCCCTGACCTTGCTTCGTCGCCTGAGTCCCACGCGTGGATGAGTTCGTGAGTTGGGGGAAGCCATGCTCAACGTGGTCTGCATGCCCATCTTCGCTTTCCCGGAAAGACTCTGCGTCTATCTCTCGAGACTGATTATAGACCCAATGGCAATGCTCGCAGCCACAGAAGCTAAGCGGGTCTTTCGGGGCTTCATTAATACCGTCGAGTAGGTAGATGAGGAACGATCCTACGATTGCTAGCCCCGTCGCAACAATGGTGCCCCACTGGCCTGGACGAGAACTTGTTAGCAACAGAGACATTCCGTAGGCGTGTACAACTCACCAACACTTCCGAATGGCTCAGTGTGATAATCCATCTGTGGACTCCAGAGGTTGATCTCTCCGAGGATGAGTATAGCCAACGCAGCGCCGCCGAAAACAAAGATCTCTATCAGACTCAGGAACCCGCTAACGGTTCCGTGTAAGTCCTTGGACTCCTCGGACTCGTTTTCTTTTTCCTTCTGCGGCCCGTTCTGCTTCTTGATCCAATCGGTGATGACAATCTTGTTCCTCATAGAGATGAGCGAGATGATGGCTGGAACACAGCATGCCACCGCGAGGAACATTGCATTTCCGAACCGTAGCTCGTTTGGTCTCGGCACCACGAATATCTCACTGGCGGCCTTTTGCCGCAGGCGTGAGAACGGACCGTCCGTCTGGGAACAGGTAATACCGCATAATGGACTATCTCCGTACGGAAACTTTCTTGGGTCCGACGATATTGGATTGCCGTTATTATCCTGATAGCAGGGAATGGAATTGGATCGGTAGAATTCGACAGCTAAGCTCACAAGACCTATAATTATTCGTTAATATCCGAGCATGTAGGTGCTCCAAATTTGCGGTGTCCTACCTGCCAGTAGTAGACTCGTCCACACAAAGACAGTATTGCGTCCCTTTTCATGGAAGTAGGTCTCAGACTTCTTGACCGTCAATGGAACTGCGAGAATGCCTATAGAACAAAACTGAAGTGCTCCGTAAATATCCATATCGGCAGCGTCTAGGTGATAGGTGTCAGCTAGATAGTGGAAACATTCTTGCTTCAGACTGACCATCCACGTGGAGCACAGCAAGGACGATGCCGTGAACCGCAGCCACGGCCGGCAGGATCAACGCCGCTGCTATACAGACATCTCTGATCCATTTTTCTCCCCGAGCTAGTACGCATACTGCTAGAAGAATGTAATATCTAAGTGGCCTTTTGTTAGCCATGGATTTCTTATCGTAGAACAATATCTTTTTCAAGATAAACAGCTGCAGATGGACATAGCCTTCGCCCTTTGGCTGCCTTCAGTTAATCGGCCCCTCCTTCTTCTCTTCCTGCCTGCAATTCGAAGCCTGAATGATACCAGCATCAGGCTAGATAGCCATAAAAAGAGAGGCAGAAGGGCCGATACACATGAAGGCAAAGATGGAGTCTCGGGCGGTTGCTCTGGGACCGTCCCCGATTTTGTCCACCGCGTAGTAGGCTGTATGTGATCCAGTTCCATTGCATTAGAGAGTGGAGAAAGAGAGGTACCACTCACAGGATTCGTTGGCCAAACCCATATTGCCCTGATACTGGCCATCCGCAGAACACTTCTATACAATCTGGAGAAGATCCGCAAGACGCGGTGAGCTGATCTGTGGCCCGTTGGCTGATGATGGCACGCAATAGAGGGGCAGGCGAAAACGGTGGCATCGCGCGTGTCCCATCAATCTTCCCAAGAGTTTGATGCTGCGTGGTCCGACCATCCAATGTGGGAACGCTTGGTAAAATAATATTTGGTTTCCTCCTCGGTATCAACGGCGGAGGTTGTAGATAATCAATCGACGAAAACGGCTTTCGGCTGCCTCTCTAATCGGTATCGGTAGTTGACAAGACAAGGAGGTCGTCTCCCGCCCCTCCATCCAAAGAAAGTTCTCCTTCCCTTCCGATTGCTCACTTCACGGTAAGGCTGGGAGTGGAAGGTGCTCGTGTGCTCGCTTGCTCTTCCGGTGCGGCTCAGCGAGTAGAGCGGCGCAGCGGCGCAAGGGGGAAAAGCTTGGGCTCATTGGAAAGCATTCCAGAACCCCCGCGGTGGAGGCGCAGCCAAAGGATTCGGATGTTCATCTTACCTTCGTCACCAAAGTAAGTCGTAGGTGAAAGACGGTAGGTACTTTGGGCGAGTATCGCTGAGAATCTGACGCTGCAAATTGCCGACCAGCAAATCGCCAACGCCAAGCCCCATAAGGATGGGAACACAGCAGATATGAGAGCTCCGGCGAACGCAGAGTTAACTGCTTCTGGCCAGTAAAGATTGCAGTGCCCTGTCGGCTCTGGCATTGACGAGAAACAATGTTCAATCAGACTCGTGCTGACTTGCTGATGGCATAGGAACCGTGCAGGATGCTATGCCGGTTGAGGCACTAGGGCGAAGGTCAACTCGCCAGTCGGGCGTTGATGTCACCCCGCCATCTCACCCCGTCTCAGGTCTTAGTGCCATTCCCTTCTCGAGTCTCCTCGTTCCCCAGGCCTCACATGCCCGGGCGATCTCGCTGACGTGGGTGGATGATGCTAGCTCGGGCAGCCTGCTCGTTGAATTTGGGTATCTACGGTCAACACCGTTTTGACAGAGATATCTCGCACCTGCTGTGCTAGATATTCTCCTTATCAATCCTATGGCCGATCTAGTCAGTTTCCTACGGTATATATTCAAGATAATGGTAAAAACTAAGGAGGTCTTGTAGAGGCGAGGATTGACCCGTAAGCAGGTTGTAGATGGGCATCAAACCTTACCTTGTGATCATCAGGCTCCCATTTCTTCCTTGGAATATTAGCTCAGGCGCAAGGTGGTAGGTAGTGTCAGGTTTGCTCCGACCTGATTAACTTGAACGAGTTGGAGGAAATGCCAATCATTCGCACTCCAAAATCAAGTGACGCCCTCACCCGCCGCGCCTTCTTCGTTGGCAATGGAAGCCGGCTAAATGCATCTACGTACCTACCTGGGCCCACTTCAGTTCAGCTCCCCGTCCAATTCGGTTTCTGCTTCCCATGATGGCTCGAAGTCACGACACGCACTCCAAATAATCGCGATGGCCATCGACACGAGGACGGATCAGATCAGAGAATGGAGGTCAATCGTGACGTTGATTGTCTTCTTCCTCGCGAGTAAGTCAATGTACTTCGTTCAAAAGCCTTTACCTGGCATCGCACATGTGTCGCAAATGGACAATTCAATTAATTCATCGAGCGCACAGACATCGTCGTACTGTTCCCTTTCCACATCCCAATCTACATTCCCGTGCGACTTTGGAACGGGGTGTTGAAGGTGCTTCGCAACTTGCGGGTGATACCGCGCGAGGACGACGCTCATGATGGCTTCAGGGAAGACCAATTTGGGGGCATGTCCTCTCGGCGCAAGCGCTTCGTGCGCTTCCAATTCCCGATGAACTCAATCACTGCGCCGTTGATCGCCGACCTGTTTCTCTTGGCCATCCTGGCAATTGGCAGAGAGGAAGTGTACGACGGGACCATTGGCCAAAACGGCATTCATCCTCTCGATATCATGGTCTTCTTTCTGACTCTCGCGTACATTGCTATCTCGATTGACGCTTCGGGTCTTATTCGTTACTTGGCACTCAGGGTGCTTCAGTGGGGAGGCAAGGTCGGCTACCGCTTATTCTTCTACCTCTACGCCTTCTTCTTCTGCCTGGGCACCTTCATCGGCAACGACCCCATCATCCTGTCCGGCACGGCCTTCCTCGCCTACATGACCCGAATCTCGAACAACATCAAGTACCCGAGAGCGTGGATCTTCACCCAATTCTCCATAGCCAACATTGCCTCGGCCATTCTCGTCTCGTCTAACCCGACCAACCTTGTGCTTGCAGGTGCTTTCGACATCAAGTTCGTAGAGTACACGGCCAATATGGTTGTACCTGTCGTCGTCACAGCCATCGTCTTGTTTCCGTTCCTTCTATACATCATCTTTGCAGATAAGAAGCTCATCCCCGAGTCCATTGAGATGTTCCAACCACCAGAGGAGGCCATGCAATCGAAGCCCGTCAACCCCAACATCCCGAACCCCAGGGGAGCCGCAAATAACGCTGACCAAGCGCCCGAAAGCAGTCCGCAAGCCCAGTTGCTCTCGGCCATTGAAATTTTGAATCCCTGGCTTGACAAGGGAGGAGCCGCCTTTGGCGCTGTCGTCATGTCGGTGACACTTATTACGGTCCTGGCTCTCAATGCAGCAAATGTCAAACCGAAGGACGATCAGCATCTACAAGTCTTCTGGGTCACCTTACCAGCCGCTTTCATCATGCTCTGCTGGGACCTGGCATTTGGCTGGTATCACAGGGCAGAAACTCGCACGATAGCTCAACAAGGACGAGACGGACAGGATGAGGAGCTTCCCAGGGCAGACCAGGGCATCAGGGAGAAAGATGCGTCGGGTATACTGAACCAAGAAGACACGGGCTTGGCCCAAGGCACGACAGAGATGCCGCCATTATCACACGCACGCAGACCCGAGATTCACGTTCAAGATACCGATCTGCTTGAAGATCAAAACGGCCTTGGAATTATGAAGGAGGAGGTCTCGCCCGTTAGCAACGATACCAGCACGGATGCATCAGAACGGAACCCCAATGATGCCAAGTTTATGATCACCCCAGTGATCCAGGCACCAGGAAACAGCGACAAGGTGACCGGCAATGCGGGAACGCAGCTCGTATCCTCACAGTCTACAGCTGTCGATAGGACAGAACATGTCGATGTAAGTAGAACGCCCAGCGAGGGCTCTACGGAGAGCAGGAGACGAACTTTGCCAGCTGCAGCCAGTGAGCCTGGCGAAGCACAAACGCAGCCAGACGGGATCACGGATGTCGAAAAGGCAGTCATTGGAAGACAACGCGGTCGAAGCTCAAGTTTCCGCTCCAAAAAGCAACCAGCGACACTGGTATCACGCTTCAAGGATGGGTATCGTTGGTCACAAGAGACGTTCCCCACGGTGATGGCGGTGCTAGCTCATCTACCCTTCGCCCTCGTCCCTTTTGCCTTTGCCATGTTCGTCCTCGTGCAAGCCCTCGTTACCAAGGGCTGGGTGCCGGTGTTTGCGTACGGGTGGGATCACTGGGTTGAAAAGACGGGTACTATTGGTGCCATTGGCGGCATGGGGTTCCTCTCGGTCATCCTCTGCAACGTGAGTTCTTACCCCTCAAGATCTGATGTGATCATGGCGTTACATTTAGCTGACTTTTGTATCCCTTCTCTAGTTTGCGGGAACCAACATTGGCACTACGATCCTGCTCTCCCGAGTGATCCAGGCATGGCAACAGATCCACCGAGAGAACGGCGTACCCATCAGCGAGCGGACGTTCTGGGCAACGGTCTACAGCATGGCTCTCGGCGTCAACTATGGAGCCTTCAGCACAGCCTTTAGCGCATCGTTGGCCGGCCTGCTGTGGAGGGACATTTTGGAGAGGAAGCACATCTTCGTCAGCAGGAGGGACTTTGCAAGGGAAAACATACCCATCATCGCCATCGCCATGACGGTCGGTTGCACGGTTCTGGTTGGGGAGATTTACATCACGCGAACGGACAAGCCGTATCCATTGTGAGCGGTGGATGGATATAGTGGGCTGAAGCTCACTTACAGAGAACTTGAGACGATTTAGAGATCCAAAAGATACCCTATTTGAATGGCAATGACTGGTTATGAGTTGCGATGAGTTGCGCCTGCTTGAGACTGAGAAGATGGGCATTTGCCAAAGTCATGACGGATACAACGCTGGGCGATGCTCAGTAGAGAGAATGAAAAGCATGGGATACCAACCCCAGACTTGACGACCTCACTCATATCAACTTACACCTCAAACCTCCCACAGCACTCCGCCGCAAGCACGACAGCACAAACGGATCAATTGACTTCTACGCCAACACCAAGTGAAAAGCCACATTTGGAGCGGCATCGTGCAGCCGTCCCGTCTCGACTGCGGCATGAAGAACGGGAGGGCTGTGTAGACGACATGCAGAATGACATGCCACTCCCGCAGGCAGCGAGTACAACATTGGACTTTTGAGGGGGATGGCGTGCAGCAGGGCTGTGGCTGTGTTGTGAATGCATCCCAGGCCCTGGGGAAGAAGAGGGGGAAGGGGGCTCTGCTGCGTGATGCAACGCGGGCTTCGTCTTTTCTTTTGGTATGCAGTTTGCATGATGCGCATGCTCTGGGAGGGGTTATTGAAGAGAACTTGGTATCGCTTCTGTTGGAAGGATATTGGATGATTTCGCAATCTGCCTCGACACGGCGCTTAAGAGGTTTATCCTTTGGGTCTGGTGAAGATCGTGGGCCTTTAGCAGGCATCTTCAACCAGGGTCGAATTTACCAGGGCCAACTTACTTTTGCCGAATTCACTCGTGGCCGGCGTGCGGTAATTAAGAGTACCTATGATCGCAAGCCGCGCTTCAGCGCTTATCGCTCACATAGTCCTTGCCCAAGGTAACATTGAGCCGAGACGTGAAAATAGCACAGCCGCGCTGCTGTGCCGTTAACGAGGTGCTCACTGACCCGCAATCCGCAGAGAGACATATGTTCGTAGACTCGCGATAATGGATCAACCACGATCATGATCCATTTCCGGACGTCAGCGGAGGGTCGTGTGCATGTGTCTCAGTCATGATCTCCAAGGTCAGCCCCCCCCCCCCCCCTTTCACCAATGGGATGCCCCCGTTGCCGAGCGTCGGGGTCGTGGAATCTGTAGGTAAGCTGAGGCAGCAGGATACAGTAGCTACATCCCTACTGACGACAACGGCTGCGGGGTTTTCCGCAACGTGATTGATGGAGCATGGAGGGGGGAACGACGGCACGGGAGGAATGGGAGGATGCCTGGGGTTCGTCGGTTCGATGGGGGACGGAAGATCAGCGTCTGTCAGCGCGGGAGGGGGGTTTCTGCTTACTGCATGAGCTGGCCCGATAGCGAAGTCTTGATGGTGTAAGTGCTTTCTCTCCGGCGCGGGCGGGCGGGCGCATCCGGATCATGGTCTTGGATCTTTGTTTCTGAATGAAGGCTCAGAGAAGCCGTTTCTCCATTTCCAAAGGATCTCGCGTTCAGGGTGCAAGACTGGATGACTTCAAAGTTCAAACCTGCTTCGCGGATGCCCTTTGGTCCAAGCACCCGGCCGATTGAGTTGAAGTGCGAATAGTTGAGACGCTGGAGCATGCAGTCTTCTGCCCGAGAAAGAGGAGATGTTTCACTCCATCGACGCAGGTAGAGCTCGAATCGTTGGTGATTTGTCCGTGCTTGGCCTCGGTTCATGTTTTTCGTCCCCTCTCCCTCTCTCTCATGCAGCGCAATACTCTGCTGAAGAATATTCCTCAAGTTCTTGCCAGTCGGAATAGTCAATGGCTCGGGTTTTCTGCCATGCCATTGACTTTGACTTGGAGTCCCCGAAAGAACTCCAGATAGATGCAGGGGTTGAGAATCAGGTGTTGTTTCGTTCTCCCCCACCATCCTCAGCCAGCTCGGGATTGAATACTTCGCGGGCAACACGGCATGAACCGAGGCTGTTTAAGGCTCTTTTGCGAATCGAACCTCCCAAAATACCTTTGATAAACAGAAATGGGAGGCGCTTTCGAATGGTACCCCTGTATTAGTACTCAGGTACAGTTTCGATGAGCAGCGGAGCAGAGGCAGCGTTACCCTATCCGCTTGGAGAGCTCATCTAATTACCAATGGATAACACCGATCAAGTGAAGCTCAGTCCAGAATAAGTCAACCACTCGTCAAATCAGCTCGAAGAGCATCCCATTTCCCAGAATCCTTCATCCCATTCTTCCCCGTGGGGTCCAAGTGCCTCCATCCGGACCTCGTTGGTAGTCAGAGGGGGCATCCCGCGGTACTCATACGTCCGGAATCATCACGCTCGAACGGAGGTTGCTGTTGCAGAATACCCTGCAACTAACATCCTCACCATCCTCGCATGCAGGGACATACATCAACTCTCTTCCTCTGTTACTGACATTGACTTTCGGGATGCGGCCTCACCCCTTGATTTCACCAACACAGATATCGTCCTTATCATCAGGTCCCTTTCTCCCTCGCCCGGGGGACCATCCTGGAGAGAAAAGGCAGATCCTGCAGGCCGCTGTTGATGCAGTGGCCGTTTTGAAACGGCCGCGGATGCAGCGAATGAGGTGCGTGGGAGTGATCAATGCGCCTGGTGGATGATGAACAGAGTTTTGTGTTCTTTCAACGTTTTTCACCAAAACAGTCTGAATAGGTTTGTTTGAATCATTTATTTTACGCCAAGTTATTTAGACATCAGCTGAAGCGAGGGAGAAAAAGGAGGAGAAGGGTTCAGAGTGTGAAATCGGACGATGGGGATGATGGGCCCAACTCGCAGCATTCGCGGCTGAAAAAGCCACACCTTTTCCTCGTGTCGTTTCTGTTACTTTAAAACTGACCTTGATCTGTTGAGTCGTTAATTGTGCCCCGGCCCAACTTTGGCCAAGCTAAATCTTCGCATGATGTTACTGCCAAGTCAAGTCTCTTCTTTGTATGAATCGCGATAGGGATGGAAGGGCTGAGAACTTTTCAGAAATGGCTTTCGAACGTTGAACAATAGTGGTAGGATGAGATGGAACAAAGAGTCAGAGTCCAGACACGGCGGGCAAACAATGTGAGCGTTGACCCGAGGGTGAGATGTTTAATCAAGGGATTGTGATTTCTTTGTTCAACTAGGTAGAAACTAATCAATTGGCACCATCGCCCGTTCGATGCAACTTCAGATACTGAATCATCAGCTTGCAGAGTGAGTGAGAAAACCACTGAAAAGATGAGTGAGCAGGTTGGAGTGAGTGAGATCGCTCATGAGTGAGTGACTTGCAGCAGCGCAGCGCCTCACTAACACGATGGGATCCGCACCACCACACCACTACACCACACGAACGGGGGTGTGTCCAGGTGCAGAACTGCAGGTGGTGTTCCAGCTCCGCCCCGCGGGTCCTTCGCCTTTCCGCCATGGCGCCCGCGAACGAGCGAAGAAGGTTCTCAGCGTGTCCGTCCACCGGGGGTCCAGCTCGGCCCACGAGCACCACGCCGGCCTGCTGCTGGACTGTAAGGCGTCAGGGTTTTGGTGGCCGAGCGGATCTGGGAAGCTGATTGAGCGCCTAAGCTAAGCCGAGTTGAGGTAAGTTCCTCGTGGACCGTTGTGGTACATTGTTTGTTCTAAGTTGGGAGCCCACGCTTCGAGGTTCTCTTCTTTTCTCTCTGTCAAACTGTGGTCCAGTGCGACATTGCTGTGCAGTCCTCGACATGTCTCCAACGCAGATCAGCTAGGCAGAAAGCACTATGGCATCAGAGATTGACGCAAGTGCAAGTGGTCCTCATGTGTGATATCCATAGATAGACATGACACGATCTGGGGAAGACATTAGGCATACGCTTAGGACAACGTTCGGCCTTATTCGCTTCCTCGCAGTCGCAAAGAAAGCCGTCGCAAGAAACATGAACCGCCCCAAAAGTCTAGGTAAATCCCTAAACAGACACACCACACCCTTGACTCCCCGCGGTTGGTCGGGGGGCGGATCTGCTTCCCTGCTGCGGGAAACAGGGATGGTAGCACGACGGAAGCACACGGCCAATTATAGCCGCATCGCATGGCGCCGAGCGAACGATTCACAACCATGGTCCATGGTCCATGGTCCAACCCAACCTACGGATCCCCCTTGCCCGATGGACAGAAAGAGAAGTTGTAAGTTCTCAGTTGTAAGTGGCATCGCTGCGGCAGCGGGCAGCGCCTTATGGGGCACACTCACACGGCTACGGCTACTATTCCCAAACATTACCCTCTTTTTTTTTTTTTCTGTTTCTGCTTCTCTCTCCCCCACCCAGTCCCGTCCCATCCCTCACGCCCGCAGTTGGGCGATATGCACACTCCCAACCCATGAATCTTTGTGTGAGTGTGAGTGGGATGGATAGCCAAGGCTTCGAGGGATGCGGGCCACTCAGCGGTAGAGATGTCCTTTCTGCCTTGCAGTTGCTTCGCTTGCTTCGGCTCGTGCCCTCTCACACTGGACAAGGGTCTGATAGGATTCTTCCCCCTCCATGGCCATGCTTGTTTGCATGGAAGCTCTTGTGAAGCTCTCTCTTCTCAATGCCAAAAAGGTAGCCATTGTGTCTCGCAAGGGGAAAAGATCCAGAAACCATGTAATAAAGGGGACGTCTCATCCCTCCTTCTGTCATCCCTTTCCCCCCCATCCTCTGATCACCATTCCCCATCACCACACGGACTTTTATCTAGAGAGGGTCCCACGCACAGAGCTGTCTATTCTCGTCGCCGTCGTCGAACAAAAGCTCCGAGCGGAATCAACAGAACCAAAACACCATTCACCTCTACTTGCCCACAAACATTGGTGATGTCCTCGCTTGGGTGCAGTCGTCCGGAGCATCATTGACCATCCGCACAAACACCCCACACCACACACCCCTTCCGCCCACCTTACCCGTCACACTGGCACCACCGGAGGCCGGCGACGACGTACACTATCACGGCACCATCTTTTGCTACCTTCTCTCAACTTCTTTTCCCCCTCCCAGCTCAGCTACGACCTCGGATCTAGAAGGGGGAGGGACAGAAAGAGGTCGAGACCCGGGCGGGGACGTAACGGACTACGACTTGAACTACTGCGAGTTGTTCTAGTCCCGCTGTCAACAAACAAAACGCCCAATTCCTTCTCTGTCCGCAACGTCAACATAAGAAGACATGGCACCTGCCATCTCCGACATACTCAGACGAGAAGAAGCAAGAATACAAATAACTTTACAAGTAACAACAACAATAGCAACAGTAACAACATCCTCATCACATACAACATCACCGGCACAAACGACAGCAACATCAACACCGACGCCAATAGACGCAAGCAACGGTATCGGCGGCACACCAGGAAACATTGAATCCCCTTCCTCGGCAGGAACAACAACAGTCCTCATCATCGTTATCCTCTGCTGCGCATCCGCCATCATGTCGGCAACGCTCTTCTACATCTTTGACCGCAAAAAGAACGCCCAGTTCCGCGAGGCGTGTAAGCGGGACCCCTACCTCACGCGCAAAGAGTTCGCCCGCCGGCGCAAGCTCAGTGCCCTGGAGAGGCTCGAGGAGGAGGAGCTGCAGCGGAGCATCATGATTCGCAAGTCTCTTGCGAGTCGCGGGCCGTCGAGGAGTAATAGCTGCGAGGACGTGTTTGATCTCTCGTCGATGCAGGAGCAGCACCACCGCCGCCACAACCACCAGATGACGGAGATGAATATGCCGGAGCCACCGAGGGGCAGGCAGCAGATGAGGGAGCACCAGGAGGAATTACAATTACACCAAGGGCGGCAATTATCCGGGGAGTGGGCGCCGAGAGAGGGCAGAAGCAGGTCCGGGTCCGAGACTTCGAGTTCGGCTTCGTCTGCGCGGCGGGCTTATCCTGGGCCGGGGTGTTCCGGTGTGGATGCCGATGGTGCTGGAGCCCCGCTGACGCCGCAGTCGAGCGGGCCGGGGCCGAGCCGGTTGGTGCTGGACAAGGAGACTGCGCCGCCGCCGATTCACCCGATGGAGGAGATTACACGACCTTTACCGGCGGTGCCAAGAACTGATGGTCCTTCGCACTTTTCATAAAGACAGGTTCTGGAGTTGGAGTGTATGTTGACAAGATTTGAAGCCTGAGGGGCAGGGAGGGTTACCCCGTCGGTGTATTCTTGTACCTTCTTTTACCGTACTTTTCATTTGTATTGATACCCATGATCGAATATACGTCAAAACTTTTGACCCAATCGTTTTTCAATTGCCAATGAGGTGGTGAGAGAGCGGTGAATTACAAAGGAAAGTAGCAATTGACTTACACCGTGACACCTTCCTCGGCGGGCTGGAACATTCGAGTAGATGACAAAGACTGAAAATTCGAGGTCGACAGTGGGCCCACTTACGTGATGAGGTAAGCAGACGAGGTTGGCCCAAATAAGGTTGCCGAGTCCCTCGTACCTTCCGACCTTACTGCCTGCTGAGTCATCTTACCACCCATCTCCGAAAACTGCCTGCCTAAGGTCCTGTGGGGGTCAAAGTCCTCATCCGTAATACGAAACCTCAGCCTTGACTTCTCTCCCCTACAACCCACTTCACGTCACTCGCTCGCCGCACGAAAGATCGTCGTCTGCAATCCGCCGCAACGAAATCTCGAGAAATCGTCGCATCGACTTTCTCTAGAGCACCTTTGCGACCGTCGTATACAAGTCCTTCGAGCCGCGCGACCTTGGTACATTGCGCCGTATCTTCTCAAGTCTTTGTTCGCCACTTCCCACGTCTCGGACGCCTTCACTGGTAGAATCGGTCGGCTGGCAAACAAAGCCTTTCTCTCCCTCGACTCCTCTCCTCCTTCCCTCGCAAAATCGTCTTTCGCGACTTCCCGTCAAAGGACATTGTATTGGTGAGAGAGGATATTCCTGCCGAAAGTCAGGAAGTCATGGCTCACCTTTATCTCTCTGCATAGTTAGGGCATTCCCCGAGCGCTTTCGTCATTCTCCCGCTGAACGCCCACCCCGTTCATCAAGAAAACGCCGATCAAGCAGCCTGAGGATTCTCTATCTATATACATTCGCCTACTGCCTCGGCGTGGGATCGAGACCCTACCTCGGTTCCGAAGCAGCTTCTAGCATCGTCCTTTGAGACGATCGTTTATTGGGCGAAGTAGCCGTCGTCCAAAGAAAACACCGCCAAGCTGCATTCGCCGCTTTTCGTTCAGCTTCATACCGATCTTCTCTGGACAGCAAAACCCAGCGAACCGACAGAAGAAACCTACCAAGCAGTCGTCAACAAGCGAAAAGAACTCCGGCGGAGAAGAAAGGAGCTCAGACGTCGTCGCAAAGTCTTTGACGAAATCAACAACATCTACACTGCCAAGCCGTACAAGCCCAAGATGCTCGGCCCCAATGGAGCCGCGACAGACGAGAATGCCGAGGGCTTCAAGGATGACCTCAACTGCGTCGTGATGTGTCCCGACTGCAAGGAGTACCCTCCCAATCTGGTTGAGGAGTTCTCTTCTGGCGACATGGTGTGCGGTTCTTGCGGCCTCGTCGTTGGAGACAAGATTATCGACACCCGTTCCGAATGGCGTACATTCGCCAATGACGATCAGGGCAATGATGACCCCTCCCGTGTCGGTGACGCCGTCAACCCCTTGCTCAACGGCTCACAGCTCGAGACCACCATCGCTTTCGGCGATGGCAGAGACTCTAAGCAGCTTGCTCGTCTTCAGAACAAGTCCCAGAACGACAAGGCTAGCAAATCTCTGATGCAGGCGTATAAGGAGATTGGTGCCTTTTGCGACAGTATCAACCTTGGCAAGAACGTCTCTGATGCGGCCAAGCACATCTTCAAGTTGACGTACGACCATAATTTCATGAAGGGCAAGCCGCAGGAGGCCGTCATTGCAGGCTGTATTTTTATTGCCTGTCGTCAGACCGGCGTCGGCCGTACTTTCCGCGAGATCTTCCAGGTCACCCACGTGTCAAAGAAGGAAATTGGCAGGGTTTTCAAGCAGCTCGAGTCCTTCCTGCAGAAGATTAAGGAGGAGAACCCGCGTGGTGCCGGCTCTCTTTCCAACCTGGATGGCTACAAGGCCAGCGCGTCTACCAGTGCCGAGGATCTCTGCACTCGTTTCTGCTCCAACCTCAACTTCCGTAATGCGCAGAAGATTGAGAACGTCTCGCGCGCTCTTGCACGCAAGACATCGAGCGTCTCTGAATTGGCCGGTCGTTCGCCTTTGTCTGTCGCCGCCGCCTGTATCTACATGGCATCGCATCTCATGAAAGAATCGAGAACCTCCAAGGAGATTGCCTCGGTGGCAGGTGTTAGCGACGGCACCATCAAGACGGCCTATCGGTTCTTGTACCAGGCTCGCGACAGACTTATTGAGAAGGAGTGGGGCGCGGACAAGAAGGCAATCGATAATCTTCCGGTTAACTAGAAGATTTCTGGTAGCCCTCTCGACTGCTCAGTCACTGTTTATCCCCAGGGCGAGGCGGAAGGAATGGCCACTATCCAAATTGAGGCGAATGGTGCCGAAGAAAACGTTGCGTATCCGACTCCCAAGCAGGAGTAGGAGACGACGTCAAAGCATATACATTGGAGCCTCGTGCAGCCGGCTGCATTTATTGGTCGTCAGCCGCGACTGCAAAACATGAAATTTTCCGTGGGCGTTTAGGGGTGGTTTCCCTGTGCCTGCTATCTCAGTCCATCGATCGGTTCTAGTCACCTGGAATGGTGCAACCTCGAAGCTCTTGGAAGATTAGAGCTGGAGGTTCCGATTGCGACGAGACAGATTTGCTTTCTTGCTCGCTTGCGTGGTGAGGTTTGGGATGGGGATTCTAGAATTGTTAGGACTGGGGTGGCTTAATTGCATAATCATTGCGGATATTCCCAGATTGCTGCTTGGTTGCTTTTCTTACCAAGATGATTCATATCATAGACAGCACGAGTCACAACATGCTTTCACTCATGGCTTTGCACTAATCAATGATCTTGCATAAACTTGATATGCCCACGTCCAGAGATGTAAATGAGGCCAGAAAAAGAGTGATACCATAGGCGCACAGCTCAGCAAGGTGTGTTGAAGAATTTCGCAAGGTACCATGGTGAGCTTGTGTACAGTGTTTAAAGGCCGTGTGAAGTGTTATGTGCACCCAAGCTGACAGCCAATCAAAAGCCAGCTGTCCCCCCAATAACTTTTTCCCACCACAGGGAAACCTGAGCCTTGCCTCGCGTCGCGACTCCATCAACCAGCGTCGATTGACATTCATTCAGCCTTGCACTTCACCAGACCTGCGAATTGCGCCCACGAATTCCCATCTCGACTCCACCATTCGCCTCGTGTCCACGTGCGCACCTCACAATGTCCGGACGTCGTTCTCGGTCGGGCAGGGCTGCCGCCAAGCGCGCCTCTGCTGCGCTCCGTAAGTACAGCTCTTTCCTAATTATTGACATTCGGTCGCGACCTTTAGAGCTGCACAGTCCATGATTTGAATGTGTGGGTGGTCTGCAACACTTTTGAGATGTTTATTCTGCTCGGTGTCCTTTTGAGAGCTTGTTTAGATGTGGAATGCGAGCGCATGGCGCCTCAATGGTTTCCTCCTCGCCTCGCGTACCCCTCCATTCACAACAGCTACCCCTCGAACAAGTCGCTGTCACAGCAATAATCCTTGGGAGAAATCACAAGTGGAAGCATTTGGCTAACTGCATTCCGGTTGTAGAAAGCACGCCCCGGGCCTTTGAAGGTATCGACGATGACGAACCCGTCCCCGAAGCTGTCGAGTCCGAGCCCGAGCATGAGGCGCAACCCGAAGAAGACGAAGAGGACGAGGAGGAAGAAGAGGAAAAGGCAAACGAGTCAGGCGAGGAAGAGGAAGCTGCCGATGAAGATGGAGAAGAGGAAGAGGAAGAACAAGCAAATGACGAGGGAGAGGAATCCGAACCTTCAGCTAAAGAACCCACTCCCCCGACAGAGCCTGTGGTGCGTCGCAAGCGACTAGGACGGCCCCCGAAGAACAAGCCACCGGGCTGGGACAACATGATCACCGTCCCCGCATCCGAAGCCGACACTCCGCGACGTAGAGGTCGTGGAGGTTGGCGCGGCCGCGGCGGACGCCGACCTGCACCTGGACAGGCACCCCCTAAGCTCAAGCAGGTGATTGACAAGGAGGGCACAGAAGTCGATATTGTCGACGACGAGTGCGTGCTCCCTGAAGATGCGGAAGGCGAGACAAAGGTCGACAAGCTCGGTAACCTCCAGGGCGGCCGTCAGTACCGTTGCAGAACGTTCACCGTCAAGGATCGCGGCGAGCGGCAGTACATGTTGTCGACGGAGCCCGCCCGTTGCGTCGGTTTCCGCGACAGTTACTTGTTCTTCAACAAGCACCCGAAGCTGTACAAGATCATCGTGAGCGACGACGAGAAGATGGACATGATTGAGCGGAATATCATTCCCCACTCATACAAGGGCCGTGCGATAGGTATCGTCACGGCGCGATCCGTCTTTGTCGAGTTCGGCGCGAGGATCATTGTGGGAGGTCGGAATATCGTGGACGACTACCGTGTGGCTGACATGCGTGCCTCTGGCATCATCGAGGGACATATTGCGGACCCTTCCGACATCTTCAACCCTAACGAGCCGTACAACTCGAATCAGTATGTTGCGTGGTTCGGTGCCAGTGCCGTGTACCATACCAACCAAACACCTGCTGCTTCGGATCCTCTTGCTGGTTTGACAGAGGTCAAGAAGAAGAGGGTCAACGTGAACGACACGAACTGGCAACTGGAGCACGCTCGTGCTGCTAGGTGGGTTTCATCTCCTTCAATCGTCAATGTGTCACAGACTAACAAACCTTTAGCGAGTTCAACAGTCGTCTCAACGCCATCCGCATGGCAACACTGCGGAACGGCGCTTACGATATTCACACCAACCTGATGCAGAAGCCAGTCAACACGCAGCCGACCCGCGCTCGCGTCGAGAGAGTCACTCCCGGCGACACAAGCGACGCAAACAGCGCATTCCCCACGGTCCCCTCAGCCGTGCAGCGCAACTTCAACGTCGTCGATATCGTCTACGAAATACCGCGCGCGGGCGTCCAATCCGCCGGAAAGCGACCCGCCGAGGTGCCCGATTTCCTGAAGCCCTTCAACGGCATCCTGGCCATCGGCGATGACCTCAAGGCTCTCCTGCCGCCGGAATGCCGCGAATCCCTCGAGAGGCATCAGGACCAGCAGCGGGAGTTTGAGTCGCGCTTCGGCGACGAGAAGGACAAGATGGGGCGGGGTAATCTGCAGATCGACAAGGCGATTGTGCCGCAGGGCAAGCACTCTTAGAAGGAGTTGATTGCGATCCCCAGCTTCTATCCCATGCCCGACGGTCGCTTTGAATTGCGGATGGGTAAGCGCGAGTGCAGCTTTTGCGGCGGTAATGTGAGGGTGTGCGGTCACGGGAGGGAGAGGAGGGCTGTGTTTCATACGCGGCACCTTGGTGCGGCTAAGAAGGCGGTCAAGGTCGAAGCTGCTGTCGCTGCTCGGAAGATGGTCAAGTCGGAGTCGTCGAGTTCTCAGGGCAAGATGCTGATTGGACCTTCTTCCCTTTCGAAGGTGATGAGCTCGGATGCGGAGTCTCCCAAGAAGGCCACGAGGGGTGCGTTGGCGTTGGCCCGGGGCGTAAAGCGGTCTTCGGATGGACTTGGTGAGGGTGAGGGTGTGGGGAAGAGGGTTAAGATCCGGTCTGACATATTCCGCGGTGGCATCTGAAGTCGGAGAAGAGGAAGGGGAGGGCGTAGATTGATTGATGGAAGTTGCTCCGATTTGTTTTTCTATTCCGGGGAGGGTTTCTCCTCGTTGGCCTGGCGTTTTTGGGGGGTGTTTGGTGGTGGAACGGTTTCAAGGGGGGACCACCACTACCTAGGAGACTGTGGAAAACTATTACTGTTGATGTTAATACTGCGTTCTTTCTGCTAGGTGGGCTTTGCTCGTTGAGCAGAGAGAAGGCGGCATATCTTGGAGCATATCTGGGGGACGCCCCTGAGATGAGAACTGCTTTAGTATGGGGAGATGTGGAAGGGGAGGAAGGGGGGGAAGTGGGAGAGCTATATGTAGGACTAGCATGATTCATGAATGGCTCATTAAGGATTCCAAAGCAATCTTGTCTTTCTTTTTATATGAGTATGTGAGGTGTGAGATGATGCTAGGGGCGTCTGGACTCGCCTGGTGTCGGAAATGAGGTTCGAGAGATGTGCAGAAGAGACAGGCCGAGGTGTTGAGTCCGTTCCTGGAAGTCATTGATTCCTCTGGCTTGATGTAGATGATGTAGATGATGAGCCTTGGGGCAAGGACTTCATTGTGTCTACCTGGTTTCTTGCGTCTCTTTCAACACCTTTGTCAGAAAGGAGAGGGCTGGGCTGGTCTCAAGGCCATAGAAATACATCACCCATCGTGAGAATTTGCGTTATCGTCCGGCATAGAGCATCCTTTGGACCTCGCATGATTCTCGTGATCTCCGGGCACCTGCAGGCACTAATCGGAGAAGTCCAAGGTTTTGGTTGCCGCATAGCTCTTTACATCGATAATCGCTTATAACCTTGGGAGATCCAGGAGTCCTAACGCGTTTTCACTTCTCGTCACGTATTCGTTAGATCGTATGCTCGAATACGGAGCAGGCAGCGCTAAAGGATAGACACAGTGGCTTCTCATCTAGTAGATCTTATTTATCTATACACTTTTTAAAGAATAGGGAATTGGTAACTCCCGCCAGCCGTCTCTAATTAAAAATTGACCCGATATCTAACTTCCTAGCCTAGCTATAGTACTATACCTATTTACTAGGCGAGCTATAAGAGGCGCTAGGGCCGGTATATTTAAATAGGCTCATCGTTATTAAGAGACAATGGCTATTACCTTTAAATCTATAAAAGGAGTAGTGTAGGCGTAAAATATTATATAACTACAGCCATTTAATAAAAAGTATAGCCCGGTATATAACTATCTCGATCTTAAATACCGTCTCGGCTTATGATCCTTGATTTGCCCTATCTGTCTCGTTCTATTATCTTCTTTACTTAAATAAGGTATACTAAACAGTCTCTCATTATAAATACTTGGTACCCGTCCCGTATTCGTGCATGCGTGGGACGAATACGGCACAAAAGGTGAAGCGGCACTAAGACCGCTGAATTAAAGTGGCTTGAGAAGTCCTGGTTTTGTGTGTGGAGGAAACTATTGAGGACCATCTTGGCTAGAAGCTTGCTCGCTCGTTCCAGTCTCCCCGTGTTGCCAATCATGACTATCACCCCTTCCCGCCGACTGCCTGCGAATGTCTGATAACCCTTCTATATAGGTCTATGGCGTTCTTTATAAGGTTGCTCGCTTGCAGTGAGCTGGCTTGGGCGATCCAGTCCTCCCTGTTCTCAGATCCAAATCACTTTGGGATCTCACCCTTGCCGTTCTGTCAGAGGTCTTTCAAGAGCTAGGAGTCCCCTTCAGAGAGCTCAGTACCCCTCTTTCCTGACTTCGAATGGTGACTGTCGTTCTCCGTATCTCTCAGTTCTGAGGGTTCGACATTCAGGCTTAGGCAGGCTCCTGTCTTTGATCGCCATGGGCAAAGGGGCCTTCGATTGGACCTTGGTCATCAGGTCCATTGAGCCCCTCAGCATGCTCTGTAAAATGCATTGGCCTTTCTTCTCCCGTCACATCCCCTTTCTCTCCGTCCTCACACTGAAAGTATCCGTCCGCACAATCTTCCCACCAAAGTCTTTCTGGTCCAGTGGCATCTCCTGGCTGCTGAGATTTCTCGCCCTCGGGACCTTTGATTCCAGCTCATCCAGGCCGGCATGTTCTCCAAGAACTCCCTCATGTCCTCTCTCAGGCGCAAGTCCAGGACCTGGATCCCAAGATTGAGCTTATGCCGTATGATTTCCATACCGAACAACCTGTAAAGGGCGCGAGGGCGTATTATCTCCACTCTGTACTGCACGACTGGACGAACGAGATCTGCGAGAGTATTCTTGGGCAGGTCAAGGCTACGATGAGGCCTGGTTATGATAGGCTCTTGATCAACGAGAACGTGATACCTTCCTGGGGCGCAGATTGGCAGGTTACGGGGCTCGATATGGTCATGATGACTGTTTTTGCGTCGAGGGAGAGGACGGAGGAGCAGTGGTATCAGTTGCTGGAGGGGCTGCTGCGTTGAGGATCGTCAAGATCTGGTCCAGGGGTGAGGGGTCTGAGTCGCTTATTGAGTGTGAGTTGGCATGAAGATGGTAAAGTGTCAGGTTAGAGAATTCAAGGGGTGAGAACCTCTATATAAAGCAGTCTGTAACGAACCAGCCAAGGTTCCCCAAGACAACCTATTGTCCTGACCCTTCTTGTGTGATGGATTGAATGCCTTGACCTTTCGTTGCATCGTTCCCTTGAGATGTTATTTGAATACAAGCACAGAACACTATAAAGAAAATCTTTACACCACGTTCCTAACGCCCGCCCATCTCCCGCCCCGTATTCGTCACATCATCCTCACGAATACGGTACAAGCAGGAACGGATACTGTGAGATAGAACTCACGATTCCTAGCTATTTAAGGATCCATAGGTTGACGAGTTTAAAAACAGGAGACCGATCGACTGTCAACTCCATCACAACCACCAATAGAGCAGGACATCGACTTGATTCTCGGCGGCTGACGGATCGGACTCATTCCCGCAGTTGACTTGTTCGTCAGGAAGAGCTTAGATACTTTGGGCTTCGATATATATTCATCAGGATGACCTAGGTTAAGATAACGCAGGAGACCGGTCACCCGTTGGGGTCTCTTGCCTTTTCTTGAGTTTTACATACAGCCCTCTCTCGATAGGTACGCATAGCTCCCTAGTTTCTTTGAACCCCGTCCTTTTGATTGAGCTCACTTCTAGATATTTGCTTCCCAGCAAGAAGGAAAACAAGGCCGGGCATTCGTCACCTGGTGTGAAGCATCGTGGCCCATCATTATGCCAACCTGAGTCATACATGAAGGACACTCATCAGGAAACCTCGCAACTCAATGCTTGAATCCACGTGACACTGAGAGATCGCAGAATAGTGTCTAGGCCGTCTTCCAAAGCATACTCAGAAGCAGATCATGGCCCGGCGATTCCCAACCGAGGCGGACGACAAGTCAAAAGCAAAAACAAACTCGAAGATTGTGGCTACATCACATCTCCCAGCTCCTGAAGCGACATAAATCAACCTCACAACTTCACCGCCCCCAAACATCCCTCCAAGCAACCTTTCTCAAACCCGCTCACATGCAAAACACAAAAGGCAAGACCAAATCCATTTGCTTTCACCACTCAAACCCACAGACGTCATGAAAACCCAAACCTTCCGTGCGCCTCAAAGTCCCTTGCTAAACCCTTCTTCACCCTCTCTCCAATCCTCATCCTCATATCAAATTCTCCGACGACTTGCCCATAGCTTCATCAAGCTTTTCCCACGATACCTACCACATCTCTGGGTCGTCTCTAACAGGATAGGGCGGCGGCGGGCGGCGACGACGACTCGGGCCGTCACCACAGACATTCAAAAAACCTCCCGGCATCACGTCAAAGCCACAATCAAACCACATACACGAACACCACAGGCCCCATCCGACCCAACAACCCGAAAATAAAAAATACCTACCACTTACACAACCACAGGCTCACAGAATCCCGTCTGAAGAAAGGGCATACATGTATGCACCAAAGCGAAGATCACAGCAGAGACAGGGCCTAAACGACACACACCACCCTGTTATCTCGCCTCTTCACCCTCAACAACCCACCAAGCAAGCCAATGACATCAAACAAGGTTTCGAAAAAGCTTATCGTAGCCTTGTCCATTCTCCCGTCCGTGAGTTCGTTTGTCCCCTGGGAACATGACATCACTTTGCTCACTGCTCATGCCTCACATTTCTCTTACTATCTCCTCTCTCGTCTTACGGCATCAAGGGACCAACGAGGTTTAGGTCCGTGTCAACGGGGGAACTTGGAGCGGAACAGATCAAGTGCGACAACCAAGAAGTTCAATTCCTGAACACAAGGGTAGGAATTTATCTAGAGTAAGGAGTGCGTGATCAAATACCGCCCGTCAGAGCAAAAGATCAAGTGCAGGCAAGCCATCCGTTCTGCAGTCCGCACGTCACTGAGGTCAAGACATCAATGAGCTCCCGTAATAGATCTCCAGACAATGCATTGCAGTAGATGCGCTTCTGCTTCTGCTTTGTTCTACGGTAAGGCAGGGGCAAGCAAGCGGCCTGGACTCTACCGTCTTGCGCTCCATGACACTCTGCAGAAAAATGCCATGATCGAGAACAAGCTCGAGCCCCCAGTAGCTAGTGTCCGTCGCCAAGGCAAACAACAACCCGACGCACTCGATGTCTGCGCCACCCAGACGAAGCCTCCCATCGCAAACGCCTGACTGCCTTCTCTACGGAATCAATCCAACCGAGAAACGCGGGAGGAAAGCATACGCCGCTGTTAGTCACCCACGAATATGACCTGGCCTGTCTCGCAGAGATCATAGACCGTGGTCGGGATATTGGTGAGACCACCCTCCCCACGGGTTAGTCACCCACCCTTCCCTCCTCCCTCTAAGGCCCGTCCGACCGCAGAAACGTGACCGGACGTCAACCCAGCCCAACGGCACGATCCGGCGTAGTAAGTGGTGGTGGCATAATGAGAGGGCGGGATGCCACACCACAGGCCGCCATGTTCAAGCCACCCACCAAGTCCCAAGTCAGCCAACGCCAAACCACAAAACACCCACCCAGAACGCACGAGACACAAAGCCACCCAAAATAAAACCCACCCTTCCGTCCACTGCGTCTGCGTGCGTCCAGCGATGCGTGAGTGTGCTGCTTGACGTGTGTGCAAGCAAGATCACGCGCCTTGAAAGCTCGCCTGGCTCGGCGCTGACCACCGCTGCAGGACGCGGCGCAGAAGGGGGCAAGGGCAGGGCAGGGTAGGGCAAAAGGATCACCTAGTGAGTGAGTCGGCAGTCGAGCCCAAGAAACTACCATTAGCTGTAGCCTGGTAACTGGTTGACGTCTCACTCTCTGGGGAAAAGAAAGACACGTTTGGCTTAGTAGAAGTGTTTGCCTGCGATTACCGAGACAAGCGTGTCCCCAAAGAGCAAAGGCGCGACAAGTGTCGGCCCTCACTGGCTTGGATGAATGTACCGAACGAGAGTACTGGCATCAAAAGACTGTAGGCAGACAGACATATGCGTCTAGGATGCGCCATGCCCTTCTCACCGCTCGCAAAAGCCGCTACCTATTACCAGCAGGTCCCAGCGAGGTTAAGATGCATGTGCCGTCTACCGCTATCCGCCCGAATCGCGAATCCAAGGGGAGCATAGATGCGGTACGGCCTTGTCGGCAGGGACGAACGCCACGCGCATAGCCGTTTTGCGTCTGGCGCAATGTGTTCAAAAACGAAGCGTGGCTGACAATCTATCGACTAGTGGGCAACTTTCCCTTCCCTTTCCTTTTTCGACGGGAGGCAAACAAGAATGCGGGATGGACGATGCGCAAGTTCACGATGACTATAATGAACTCTCGGAGCCAGGTCGTCAGATCACTAACTGGTCAACGGCGGCCCGTTCGGATACGCTGGGTGGGAGTCACAAACTCCCAGATCCAGTCCGGGGGTGGACAATGCAATATCGAGCCCAGTGCATTTTCGCCTCGAGGCAGCAGACAATCACCCTATTGAACGCGCACGCCTCGTCTCGACGGGATGTGTAGTAAGCGCTTGAGTGATACTGGCAGGCGAACGGATTAACATGACGGTGATGACGACTGGGCGTTCGCGCGTCTGGGCGGGGTGTGAGATGCAAGGTCAGGATCGCAGGCAAGGAAATGGAAGACGGAGCGGAACGGCTGAACTGCCTGCGGCACAGAGGCGTGAGAATCATCCCGTTGGTGAGCGGGCGCGCGATATTGTCCGGATGCTTGTCAAGACGTCCGCCAGAATGGCTTGCCGTCTCCATGTATGTGGCCGTGGAAGAAGGTGAGTTAGGTAGGTACTCACCTAGTTCCGAATATCAACCATTCGCAGCCTACAAAGTCACAGACACTTCTTCCAAGACAGACAGCCAGAAATAGGTAAGGGACCGCGCGACTCTTCTCCGTCCATCACTACCTACTGCTTTCTTGCGCTCAAAGGCGAGGTACTACTGCAAGCACTCTAACAAGTGCTCTATCAAGCGCGTCTTCCCTGGGCCCTGGGGGCCACTACCTCCGAGACGAGGCTTGAGACCGAGCCTACTATCCATTCATCGGCTGGGGGGCCTTCCTCCAGCGGCTGGGAAAGCCTTTGTCGAAAAGGTTCCTCGTGTCGTCGTGTCGGTCAAATGTATAAACCCCATATGGCGTAGGCAGGCCGTGGTTGGGTGAACTGTACTAGCAGATCCAACTCCAGAAACGAGCGGCGGGAATTTGGGGGTCCACGCAGCCAGCCCGTCGACGTAGACGGTAGTGTAGATCACGGCGGGCGTTGAATAACACCAAACGTGCATCTTCTAGCACTTTATCGATTGACTCTGGAAGCCTTGGGTGATCCTCCGTGACTCCTTTGCCTGCACTTCTTAGTCGTTGCGCTTCCCTGCCACTTCATCCACCTCTCAGCAACAATGTATCCGTATGCATGTGTTTGTGTGTGTGTGTGTGTTGGGGGGGGGGACACGGGGGATGGAGGACGAGCCGATTCGGGGGGTGGTTTCTTTGACGGCGGATAGTGAGGGTAATTGATCACGGGCTGGGCTGTGAGGGTGGCGACTAGCACTACGTCAAGAGGTTGCACCAACACATCGATGAGTCTGTGATGGAGATGGGTGGTGAATGGTGATGCGTTTCTCGCTGAACGCCTGCTGGTCCCGATTGAGAGTGGTTGTGCGGAGCAAAGGCGGGCGGCTTGGGGCCGATAGCTCCTCCCGGGACCCGTACATGACATGCTTCGACTCCCCCCTCGAGGGCCATCTGTTTGGATCCTCCGTCCCAGGCGCCGTCGCGGCGTTCATCCATCGTGGGATCGCTTGCAGATTGGCCACAGCCATCCCATCCGTGACTGGGCTCAGTGGGCTGCAACGCTGGCGGCTTCACACACACACACACACACGCACAGAATCGCGGCATTTTCTCGAATATCTCCACTGGGACAGCGGTGCACGCTGTCCGCTCCACCGGTTTCCAGATACCCGGCCAGTCAACGGTCGCCAATCGTCGCTAACAATGCATTTCTAAGCAGTCGACCTTGTCTTTCAACGCCAAGAGCTGTGATGTTCTGCGGCAGGGGGGAGAGGTTGGTAGTCCAAGGGGGCGTCGAAGTTTGAAGACTTAGATGGCAACCCAAAGTCTCGTAGTTCCAGGTTCGTCTGCGGGGTTTGCGAGGAGAAAGGTTACGAGTCGTTCGACTATCCGTCAAGTTGAGCGGTTTCTTTGCTATGCGACTTTCTACCTAGGCACCTAGGTACCTGGGTCACGATGTTCAAACTTACGTTGCCCTCGGCACTGCCGCAGTCTGAAGACCAGTTCTTGCCACGGCCAGTTCACAGGCCGGGCAACAATCGCTTGACATGCACTGCCGCCGATGTACACAGTGAGATGTGTTCAAAGTCTTGCAATTAGTATAGACCAAACTATGGGCGCGAAGAGGCTGGCGGCAAAACTCCCCAGCTACGGCGAGGCGCGTTCCAGATGTCGATACCCGTGGGCATCTAGCAGTACAACATACCCACACCGCCTGGAGCTGGCTTAGATGGGTATGTTTTGTAGTCGGTAAGACATGGTGACATTAGTAAATGGGCTCTGGCTAATAGGGAGCACTCGTGAGAGGTCCCGAGGATAGATGCGTCTGGCGACGCGGAACCGTCGGCCATCGGGTGCCAGGTAGCCGTGCGTCATATGCAGAGGAGGTAGCAGACATGCCGCTGCGGTGCTGGCTTGGTACCTAGACCGTCGAATCATACAGTTACGCCAGGTCCGCCCGTTCGTACTGGGCGGCTGGGAAAGCATGCGAGACTCGGGCAAAGCAGTCAGTGGTTTTGGTGCTAAATCAATGTGACAGCAAACTGACGAGGTGCCGGGGAAGACTTGAGAGACGGCGCAGTTCATTTCTCTTGGACTCGGGACTCAGGAGCCTGGATGAGGGCGAGAACGCGGGCGATGGCAGGCATCGGAGACTTCATGACAGAGTAGACGTTGCGCCCGGCAGACCTCGTCATTGGACGTGGTCAAAGCCGCAGCGGACCACAGGCCCTTCTTCGGCGTTCTTTGGGTAGATCTGGTCGAGAAGCGGATAAACGTGAGAAGATCGCTCGAAGACCATGACGACTTGAACCATGATCAGCCCACAGAGTCCGAAAATTGTTACAACGGCCTGGGAGCCTGACGTTGTACCCTGAAAAATTCTAGTCGACGTGCATTTCTAGCAAAGCCTAGCGGAAAGTCTGGACAAGTTTGACATCGCCGACTGACGACGTCCTGAAACGGAAAGGGCTGTCCCTGATTCAACTTGGTCAAATCCTGACAATCTGGAGACTTTGATGCTGTCGTCTGTCACTCTGTCAAGCATCGGGTGGGGGCCTCCCTAAAGCCATCTCCGCGTCGGGGTGCCATCGGCAACTGCGGTTGCCTTGTCCTTGGTGTACAACGATATTGGAATGCACACATACGGATACGTAGAGATCAGGAGTCTTCATCGTCTGTACGAATCCAGAGTACGTGGTATCGCGACGGGTCCTGACCGCGAGGGGCATCTGATCGGGTTGGATTCTGGAGCTCTCGCCATGTCCAGCCCGGGTTCCCCTCGAACCTAGTTGCGGTGAAGGTGCCCAAATGCCCCATTCTGCAGGTAATCCTGTAAAGGCTGGCTTGTGCCCTCTTAAAAAAGAGGGGACCCATCGAGAAACCAGGACAAAACTGCAAAAATAGTCCCAGAAAGAAAAAAGGACGAATCGATAGCTTTTCGGCTGGCCCAGGTCAAGCATCCACATGATGGGTCCCTCGTGCCCTGCCACCCGCTAGAGACGGATGGTGGAGTTGGACCCTTGGACAGGCACGACAGGTACGAAAAGTTTGGAGAAAGACCACTTTAGCCTTTGCGTGTTCTCAGCGTCTGTGGGCCATCGAGAAATTTCGGCGCGGTTGGTTGTTGGCACAGAGTGTTGGTGTGATGAAATCCCACCCGATCTTCGGGCCTGGAACCTAGTGACACCAAACAAGTCATGACTACTCGATGGAGACTGGGTGACTGGTTCCCTGATACACCATTCTGACTCTATGGTGCTTTGTCTTTCCACCAGATGACCGCTCATAGCGGATGAGTTGTCAAATCGACTGCCTGTAGAGTTCGGCGTGGAGTCTGAACCCTCCTTGGTCGTAAACCAAAGGGAGACCGACTGTCATTCCGCGTGAGACTCGGTTTTCAGGGTCCAAGGCAAAACCCCTAGTATCTCATAGCGTTGTGGTCAGTTGTCGGCGTGGTTGATAGCCCGAGATATTCATAGAACAGGCGGCGGTGCAAGGGGAGTCTTTAATTGGGTGTCATCATCCGCATGTCAGTAACGGCCAGCCGCCCGCCAAACCCGGAGAATAGAATCAGCTTGGGCCTGGCAATGGCAGACCTGGTGCTGGCGCGCACGTTGTGGCCTGTTGACGGCAAGACCGCGATGCGGATGAGGGACCGGACTCAGCTGGGTGAGTCGACCACCTTCTGAATACTGTCGACGTACGGAGTACAGAGTACTGTAGAAGCACATCTCTGATCGCCAGCGCCTTCCCCTTGTTAAAGCCTCTCCGTCAGGTGGCTGAGCCTGAGAATTTCTCGTTGTATCACGTCCTGCATGTTGATGGGGTCTGGAGATTCTTTGCCAGCGTGCCAGAATGCCCCCCCAGGGTTGCAAACTTGCGGCGGTCCACGCGTGTGGTTAACACGAGGCACCGCCCTAGACACCCTGTTCGAGGGGGCACCGCTAAGCCGAAAGAACCATGATGGAATGGGGATGCACTGTGTCTCTGGCAAGCAGCACCCCGGGGCGTGCAGATGCGTAGAGCCGGGTCTACCGGTCGGTCTTGAGCTGGTGATAATGAAGGCGTCTGATAGGCCGAATGTCTGACCGGCCGCACTCCGAGCGAAGTACTCCGTACACCGAGTCTCAAAAGATTGAGCCAACATTTTGCTCCTCGAGCAGTGGGTCAGCTTCACCCTGACTCGCTATGAAGTGCAACAATGCGAATCCCGCCCAACTTCCAAGTTCTCATCTATTATAGACTGGCTCGCGGAAATAGAGCGCCTTTGAAAGATGATGAAAGTTGAACCACTGGTACCGAAAACATGATAAATCATGGTTGAGGGTTTCTCGCCGTCAACCTATAGCATCGGCCTCAGAAACGTGGTGTTAACTTCCGCGATGTTATGTACGGAGTACGGAGTAATAGGGATCGAGGCACAACATCCCAGCGTCTCGAGAGGGACCTTTCTCCATTGATACAACGGTGAGCGCCGTTTGAACGCAGGGCTGGAAATTCGTCGACGATGTACGGAGTAGCGCATGGCTGGTCATGCAGACCGCCTAGGAGTTTGTGAGGTTGTCCAATCAGAGGATCCAGATTTGAATTCTCCAAGCCATGCAGCCTGCTCATATCCGGGGGATTGGCATTGTCTCCAGCGGCAACCAGGCGCAGGGGCTGGGGAGGTTTTCTCATTTCCAAGTCGATGCCTTGATGCCTCGCCAGGTTGTGATTGCTGATATCTTGCTTCTGTCACCTGTGCGGTGCGAAATAGTGATGCCTGGTCCATGGCTCCATGCAATTTAGAACACAGGTCTCACTTGCGAGTCCGGCGTGCGTTGCCTTGCTGGTGATGAGACGCTGTCGACCATATCTCTAGGCTGGAGCCCAAGGCACGCGATTCGACGTCCGTCGTTGCTAACAACTACCAAGTTGGAAAGTTGGATGGTTTGTTGGCTGCATGACAGCGATGGCCCTGGATGCGTGCCCGGATCTCACCTGAGTGGATAATGAATTCTTGATTCCTGGTAACTAGTATCCGTACTGCGATGGCACGGATGATCCAGCCTTCTGACCCCTGAATAACCTGAGTGGCGAGGGCCAGGCATGGGTTGAGAACTCTTGACGGGCTTCGAGAGCACCGAGCGCGTCGCGGCTCCTCGCGAACCGTGAAAGCGAAACTCCAGAAGAACTCTGCATGATGACCTCTTTCTTCCAGATTGCAATGCGCCTGGCGTAGGTAGGAGATTCCTTGAAACTTTCAGGAGAAGGGATACAATGACCGTGAATCCGTTAATTGTTTGAAGAGGTGATAGGTTGAGACGAACACTCTGTACCCGGATTCTAAAGTCGGTATAGATACTCGGACGCCGCAAATTGAATTTTTGAGATGCAAGTGCAGTGGCAGTATCTGTAGGCGGAAACACAACCCCCCTGCCGAAGGTGAGCCGTGATCCGAAGCGACGAGAGTGGTGACAGCAACGTGCCTGACAATGTTTGGTTTGTGTGCGAAGCGCGTAGGAGGGTCATCAGCCGGACACACAGCTAGTCTCTAGGTAGTCGTCCAGACTTCAGAGAGTGTGAGAGTGTCGCTACGTGTGGCAGAGTGTGTCGTCCCAGACCATTTGCGCGTGTGTGAATTTGTTTCCCATGTGCCAGTTACGTTTGGCCGATGGACCCTTTTCTCCTGTCTAACGAACCCTCGGGGGTGCTGCTAGATGACAGAACCGAATCGAGAGGCATCTGGGCACTGTATTTGGGACGGTGCCTCGGAGAGTGGAGCTTGCGGTATTTCTCTTCCTCCGCTGCAATCTCATCCAAGTTCCAAGTCGGCAGAAGATGAAAATGCTATATGCTCACCTTTGCAGTACGTATCCGTAAGTCTTTGTTTTTGCTGGGCCGTGCTGCGGGTAAAGACATTAACGCCAAAGGTGAAAATGCCGCGTTT